TATATCAAAAATCATAAGTAATATTTGATAATAGACAACATAAGACATAAGAACATAAGGAATTATTTCTTGTCGTGACCTTATTAAAGTATACGTTGTCCACGTAAATTATGTATAATACGTAATAAATAATAATACATAAATAAACTACTAACATAGGAAAGTTACTACAATAGATTTATTTAATATTTTTACCGGTGTAGATATTAATAGTTCAGTGTGTTATTTATTGCAAATTTTGAATGTGTCAATCGTGTATTAATTAAAAAGAAAAAAAATATAAATAGGAATATAATGATATTTTCTCCGAACGATGAGAATGAAACGCAGAAAATATATATTATTCCTCGTCGTAACTATATTACTATACCTATATAAATAAATCGACTCATACGTACACGAAATAACGTATACAATACTCGGTATCAGTGGCGCAACCAGGGAGGTGGTCCCCTAGTCTTTATCCGCCCCCCCTTTAACCGTGTCATAGATTTCTATAACAATAATTATGTCTGAAATTAGTGAATAATCGATTCGAGGCTCGGGCGAAGAAATGGGATCGGGTCATTTTGGTTATAATCATAGTAAGAAAAACGCCAGATAAGACAAAAAAAATCACTTGACTACTAGGTTCGAGGATTTAAAATAATTATGTTTTTGGATACTCCCTTATGACAAAATCCTGATTGCGCCACTTCTCGGTATTATTGAGTCAATCGAGTCTTGAGTGACACGAAATGTATTTATAGGTATTGCGTTTATGTCGACAGTTATAATATGTTGCCAATCAGTAGAGTAATTATATTATTTACTTTAAAGATACGTGGACAAAAACTAGTAAAATGTCGGACTTTATTTTAATATATATATATATGTCTGTCAAACAATAATAATAACATTGTATTCGATACTTGTAAGCAGGGCTGTGCCAAAGGGGGTGCCCACGAACCGGACGCTATGACCACAGGGGCGCCATTTGCCAATTTTTAAGTTCTGTAATTGAATATTTGTTTAATAAACGTACGATTGAACGCCTAATGGACAGGTTGGGTCTTTTTTTTTTTTGCTCATTGTTAAATTTTTCTGACACCGGATGCCGATTTTGCTAGGCACTGCACTACTTATAGGTAATGTATGTACGTTTCGTGATTTTTTGTAAAGCAAATAGTTTTGCCGTTTCATGTGGCTGCAGGGACTGAAATTGTGTGTAGTAAAACATACTTAATGTAATACGAAATGTTAGGTGTGCGTGCAGTACGAAATTAAAAAGTGTGCAGCGGCTTAATTATTGTATTTATTCATATTAGTTTTTAATTTTTTTGCACTTTTAATAATTAATGTTTGAGAAAAAAAATTCTAAAATGTATCTTTAGTAAAATTTTAAACAACAAGTTAACTCGTGAAACATTGACTGTTATCACATATTATTTCAAAAATAATGAAGGCACAGAATAGATTAAAGATACTTTAATTATCGATAGGTATAATACATTATTAAATAAGAATCAAAACTTATAATAATATGTGTAATTTATATTTGTTATATTCATGATGAGTAAATTGTATTAGTTATGTATTTTTAAAAATTGTTCTCAGTTTATTTATGCATAAAAAATATGTATATTTGTCCTTATCATTATATAATAATACATAAAGGAAATTGTAAATCAAGATTAATTTGCGAGTGGTTATTTTTTAGTTGATATGCTGATCAAGAACTTCTCCACTTGCCATCAAAAACTAAATTTTTTCTATTGCAAAGGAAAGGAGGTGATGATACCTTTTATATAGTGTGGATTAATGTGAAGTGTGCAGTACGAAAAAGTATATGTTTTAACCTTTGCATATTGGTATTTGGAAACGAAAAATATTTTAGCCTTTAAGAATATACCTGTACAAAAATGTTTAAATAACTTTCAGTCTAAACGTATTATATTTAACAAAATGTTTTTTATTATGGGCGCATCGAGTTTTACGATAACGTAGTTATTTTTCGTGTGTGTGTCTGGCAACAACTTTTCTCGATCCGATTTTCAAGTGTAACATTGCTTTTCTAAAAGTAAATTTTGACTAGTTGGTACATTGACTGTTGAGTATAAGTTGGTCATTTTTCGTTTCAGCGAACAATTTGCGCAAAAAAAAACGTATGAGATATTATTTATTTTTAAGTGTATATCAATATTATCTAGATGCAGTTTCGTTATTGATTCAACCACACCGAGTATATGGAGATATAACGTTAGGGTGACCATAAAAATAAAATAAAAATACGACACTAAAAATAAACAAATTAAACATAATTTAAATATAATGTATAACAATTTAACTTAACTATTCAATTATTATAATTTACAAAAACATAATAAATTTGAGCTATAATATTAAGATTTTTAAATTCCCGCAAATAAAATATGTATACACAAAGACGAATTTATTTTCATGATGGCTGTTGGTCAATTTCTTTTTTCGCTGTTTCGTGTACTTTTATGCTGAACTAATTGCGTAGAGTAAATTAATTTAATAAAATAATGTAAAACTCATTACAAGAATCGTTTTTAAAATGTGGCCATTATTTATTATATACCGTGTGTAATACAATATCGCTAGAATGGTCAAAAAAATTATCCACAAATACCATCGTAAAGTAGATTTTATTGAATAATGTCCTAAAAGATGTCAAACAAATTTTAAGTTGTACATTAACAGGAAGGGGAAAAAACGGGATTAATACAGGACAGACTTGAAAAAACGAGACGAAATGCGTTTGGACAACGGGACAAGAAGTTGAAATACGGGACGTAGGGTCATCAGCCACCCTAGGGTACTCGAGTGCCACGGTATTTGTTGCAGAACACTATGTACCTAAACACTATACATAACCACAGAATATCATATACATCTACATAAAATATATTATTATTGGTCTATAATACAATAATATGTATAGGTAGCCCGTAAGAATATAAGAGATAAAATATAATAACAACAATTAACAATATTATAATTTATAATATACCTATCTAAACCTAACTAAACATTTTTTAAATATTTTACTATACGTCTTATATTCATGTGTCTATGGAATTCTATACTATAAGAATAGAAAATGATAACCCGCGTATAGTTTACAGAAATAGTCATTCGTGTTAACACGCGTTTTATGCTTTATGTATCTATAATACAATAATAATTTGATTATTATACCGTACTTGAAAAAAAAAATCGTCAGAATATACATAAATTATAAATGCGTATTATAGTATTGAGTATAAACTATACTTATATACCCACGAGCAATGTAAAAACGAACCATCAATTATTATGATCCATAAAGCGTCACATCCATCATTATATCCACGGACCATATAAATTTCTTACTCGAAAATGTTGCTTAATTTTAAATAAATAATTACCAGTAATTAATATAAAACCGAACGGAGTAAAATTTAAAATTAAATATAATTATATTTGTAATTATTTAATTTTGTTTTTTTAATTTTTTACTAGGTACTTATCAATAATATATTATTTTAATTGAGTTAGAAAATAAATACTTGTACACTTCTAGGTAAACAGAAAAAGAAAGAGAAAGTGAAAAATAAAATAATCATTCTAAAATATCATAATGGTAATGAAGCCTCTCTATGATAGTTTTTGAATCGTTTTCTAAAATGTCTTTACACTTAAAATAATAAAATTGGATTTAATTTGTTTACATATTCTTTTTTTGACATCTCACTATACACAATACAATTTACCAACGAAATAATATTTTTTATTGTTATAGCTAATAATTAAACAACAACTTTTCATACTAATCGAAAAATGTCGTTCATTATATTGAGTTATCTGTAAGGGTCCAAATATTTCTTTGTCACAATAATACAATATTATATTATAGAATTACATATATTACTGTTAAATGGGAAATTTAATATTTTAAGTCATTGGAATGAATTACAATGAATTATCTATTGAAAAATAGTATTTTTATCGAACTTTAATCATTTACCTAACATTATGTAGTGAAGTAATCAAGTAAGTTAAAGAGGTAGGATACATAAGGGAATTTAATGCAATTTTGTATGCAACAATTAATTATTGCTGACGAAAAATGATTCTGAACGGAGTTCGGCTAAACAGGTTTTTAGGCCGTTAAACGATTTATGAATAACATATTTACGATTTTCGTCAAAATTTGATATTAAAATTTTTATGTTAAAAAAAATAAATAAATACTACATTCTACTCAACCTTTTCTTGTTGGTCACTAAGTGCATTTCACAATGAACCTCTTGTTGAATGCGTATGCATTTCTGTTTGGTCTAACAATTTTATCCACAGAATAGGTACCTACCGAAGAAATATTACCTAAAAAAACCTCGCAAAATTAAAATATCTATAAATATCTCAAATGTTTTGAAAATTTTACCACATCTAGAAAAGACAAATATGAGTTTGCTGTCCAAATTTCAAGTTTCTACGAACATTTTAAATTGAATCGTAAGTTCATAAAAAAAAAAAAAAAAAAATTGAAATAATACATTTTATACGTTTTCCTAATTACTTTAAAAACAGCTTGGAAAATCAACAAATAATTTCCCTATAGTAACACTCCAGAAAAATGTGCTACAATTCAAAATCGGAGTAAAATTTCTGGTAGAATTTTTGTACACAGTAGGATAGGTACACGTAATATTGTACGCATAGTACCACTGTCCACTGAACATGCAAATTATAATATACCTACCTAAATAACAATATTAAATGGCTATAGTATGTACCGGGCACTGCGTATTTTGTTTCAAGTGGAAAATCCCACAGCCCCCATAGAGCCGTTTCTTCGGGTTTTCACAGCGAATATTATGAGACGTACTCAGAAGTAGATACCTACATACCTACTATTCGACCAGCTGAGATTTCAGGTGCGTGAATTTAACATTTCAAATTTTTCATGTTCATTAGGTCAGGTCGCCGCAAATAATATAATAATATCCGTTCAAGGACGCGGAATAGTAGAGGGGCAAACGGTCGTCGTCGAGATATGGACCAGGAACCGGTGAGCTTGATCAGTTATTATTAATCTTTTAGTCGTACTCGTAAAGTTAGTGTAGATAAATAGTAACGGTGTGCCATAGGAGGAACGAGGTACGGACGTCTTTTGGAATACATATCTAATAATCATCTTCAATATTATACATGTGCGTTTCCATGTCGTATGCCTTTAGGTTTAAATTAATTTGAAAAAATTATATATTACGTGTTGTTTTTTTTTTCTATAATTTAAATTAAATATTATTGTATCGTATAAAAGAGGTTCCGGTACACATAAAATAAAATAAAAAACTGCAACGTAAATAATATCGTCGGTTTTACCTAATTAGTACAAACAATTATTAATTTGTTTTAATTTAAAACCGTTTTTACGATATCGTCGTACACAAACCGAAAAATATTATAATGTAAGTAAAATTTGATTTGAAATAATATCATCATATAAAAACAGTAAATCGATAACTGATATGCAATTTTATTTCACGCAAAGTAAATAATAAAATAAAACCAACGCATTTCACTATCTTCAAAAACAGCCACCGAGCATTTAATAGCGATTTCGATAGATATAAGGGTAAAAGATACAAATAAGGAGAAAAAAGGGAAATTAAGACAATTATAGCTTGGGAAGTGTTGATATCAATGCATTTTTGGGAAAGCTTTTTTTTTTTTTAGGAAGTATAAAATGAGGTTTTTGAGCTTATTTTTTCTTTACTTTAAAAGTATTTTTCGGGAATACATTATTATCAAAATATTTCACTTCCTATATAGTTAAATTATAATCGTATTTTTAAACTACAAGAAAATAAATTGTTTTGTCCAAAATTTCTCAAAAACTACTGAAAAAAGAAAAAACTTAGCGAAAAATTGCACTTTTAAAAAAACGCAAACAGAAATGTTCAAGTATAAAGCTGAGACTTAAACTAATATGTATAACATATTTTTTAAAACCAGCACAGGTAGATTTTTCGTCTGCTTAAAATTTCAAATACGCGTATTAAAATTATCATATTTACCAAATAATAGAAATAAACAGGTTTAAAATGTTAAATGATAATAGTTACCTATATACTGAAAACCTGTAACAATTATGATTACCTAGAGTTCTTTATAAAAACGAAGGACGGTAGTAAAATACGAACTAAGTACAATATTATACATTTGTACCTATACGTATAATAATTATACAGACATGGGCAGAGTGGCCGGTCTGAAAATGGGATTTTTCCAGATAGTCTGGATCTGTGACTTGATCTTTGTTTTATTTTACTTACTTTTATTATTTGAAAACTTAGTTAAAAGTTATGCCAAGACAATATTACATTCTTATTTCAGTACCTGTTAAATTTTTTTTACATACATTCTGGTTTAAAACATTTAAATGTAACTATAGGTATTTATGAAATCACTTTTCTAATTTTTTTAGGGATAAAAACTCCCCCCTCTCCTATTATCTTCGTTCATATCACAAGTAAAACCGTATTTAATTCCTCTAAATTCAAAATTCTTGCTCTGTCACTGGTTAGAATTAAAATGCGAGAAAAATTTTATCTTCTAGCCAGAATTTGGTTCCCACTCCACCCATGTGTACAGCACACCCCCGTTAATGTTTTTGAAATTTTAGATTTTTAGTACTGGAAATGGCGCCAAAAATAAATTACCTACGTATTTATTTATCTAAAAAATATGTAGGTATACTTAGTTCTATGTTGTGAATATTTTTCATTTATTTTAAAAACCGGTTATCCTTGAAATCGATAATTTTTTTTTTTGTAAAAATCGCATGCAGATATTTATATATTACTTACAGATACTTATATTCTTTAATATTGTGTATCACGATGATGACGCGAACTTTTAAATAATATATTATTATATTATAATGTACGAACAATTTTATTATTTCATCCCTATAGTATAATTATACTTACCTAACCTAACCTAACCTTGTGGACAGTGTACCAACACATCATAGTAAAATGTAAAAGTGGGTACGGGTTCGGTCACAAATTGTCAAAATTTGTCTGCAATCAATACTTATAATATGTAAACAAAGTTGTAATTATATAAATTACATATGTACATAGAACACATTTAGTTTTTAAATTGTAATTTTAGTAACGTATCAGTATAACATTAAGTATGTCTGGGAACAGTAGGTATACTAAAATCAACATTACCGAATATATCGAGGAATTTAATCTTGTTAATATTATAAAATACCTATAGGTAGACAAAGAACAAATCTTCCACATTTTTAGTTTCCGATAAAATCTAAATTTAAAACACTTCAACAAACCATTAGACATGCATTATAAATAAAAATAAATAAGTGTAACTCGTCCACTAGCTCTATACGAATTAGGCAGGTTTTTGAATTTCGATTACTCACATTTACCCACCCTAGGTAAATCGTCGCGTACGGCGTTCACATATATTTTTTGTTACAATGTAATATAATAAAACTTTTATAGGATAACAAAATACGTTTTTATACTTTTAATTTATAATTCAATAAAAATATTTATATACATATGAATATTTTAACTATGACGCTATTCACAGGTTCTATTATACTTTTATTTTTCAATAGGAAAGTCTATTATTACCTAAATTTCAGTGGATTTTTATAAAGCGTTCGAAATTAATGTTTGCATTTTTTTATTATTCTAAATTATAAATGAAATATTTATTACAAGTGATTTGCATACGATTTAAATCCCCCCCAACTACAAAAATATATAGGCAGATAGTCAAAATGGTAAATATCTACATTTTCTCTGTAAAATAATGAAATTATGCAAAATAGTTCATTGTTTTATTAAAAATTGGAATGTCCACATTTTTCTTCTTCTATGCGGTACTCGGCCTTCAAGACCTGACAGTCCAACACAATTGCCTCTAATCTTCTCTTTCTAATGCTAATACTTTCCAGTTCTCTCCTGGTCTTATTCTTTATACGTCTTCTTTTATCCTGTCCTCTCAACGTAATCTTGGGCATCTCAACGGTTTTTTTCCTTGTGGGGCATTTTCTAGTACCGTTCTTAGTAGTGAAGAATAATAATAAACCCTCTTTACGCCATGTGTGACCTGCCCATATAAGACGTCTCGTTGTGATGTCTTCAACTATATTCGAGCTTTGATATAGTTACAAGAATCAATTATAAAGTTGTAAATTTTAGTTATAAAATGTCTACCTGATATACTATGAAAAATGTGTTTTAGAGCCACGACTGTCCGGTCGTGTTTAAGAAATTATACCTTAACTAGTCTGCAATCGTACCGACGATAATTATTTCCGTTACTAATATAATTTTTTGACCCGCGATCAGAGCCATACCAAGACTTTTCAGCGCATCTGGCTGTACACAAATTTCTAATCTTATCACATCATAGACAACCTAAGTAACTATTAATTTTTTATTAAAATTTTATATTTATATATAAATTCTGGATTTTGTAACCTTTTCTGAAATGCGCTCTTGGCCTGAACCAGCCTTGCAGGCTTTTTTAGGTATATATACTGATTGTGATAAATATTAATCTCGGCAACTCTTTCAGAAATGAAAATTAATACTAGGTATCCATTGGAAAGTAACAAACGAATATTGCACCAGGTGCGAAGTTTTAAAATACGCCCTTATAAATTCTAATTTACAATGAAAACTCAAAGCTGAACAATTTTTACGAACTACAATCAAATAAGTGTTTTAATTATCTCAGTACTGGATTTCCTAAATTTTGAATTTATTGTTTATTGATTTCTTTTTAACGTAATATGTATAGATTTTTATTGCACCTGAAGCGTAGGCCCTATTCATCCCTCCTTCCTATCTGCTCTGCCCATCTGTGTATAGTACATTGTAACGTTTAATCAAAAATAATTATTTCTATGATTATTGACGTATTTATATTCCATTACCTAACAACCGGGTTTTTTTCTTAGTCCAGAAGTAATTTATCCTGAATGAATAGCGTCGGAAGTGAGGAAAAGAAGAGCAGTTGCTTCCCAATCTAAAAACATAAACAAATAAACACATAATTTGGCCCCCTCTTAAGTCTTAATATAATTTAAATAAAACTTTAAAAATAGCAAAACCAATTAATTGATACATTGATACCTATTCAAATGCATTTGACATATGTCAAATGAATAAAGTTATTTCATTTATCGATGGTGATACGGTAAAAGGGTCTAAGCGACACAATTCATTGTTTTCAGGAGAGTCAAAAAACATTTATTTGTGATTTTAATATTATTCTTTTTAGGTTGGCAATAACTTTTTTTTGGTTGGAATAGGGAATTTTTTCATTGAGTATAGACACGGATCCAGAGGAAAGATCTGAGGGGGGTCCAACAATTTTTTTACAACACAAATACAATTAAACTATAATATAATACATTATTTATATTATTTTGTCATACAATTCTCATAAAAAAAATCGGAGAAATAATATGTCTAGGGAGGCCTGGATCGCAATGCTCCCCCCTCCTTCCATCCCTAATTAAATACTTTTTTTTTAGTTTGTACGTCCTTAATATGAATACGCATTTTTGATTAGCTTTTATTGTCGTTTAGACCTTATTATTGAGAAGATTAAATAAAAAGTATAGTATCCCAAACTTAAAATTCAAATGGTTCGTTAAATAATGGTCAGAGCTGTTTTTGAGCACGAGCAATGAACGAAATACGTATTTCTCCTTCTAACATTGAAGCTGTGTCACTTAGACCCTTTTGCCGTGTCGCCATCGATATATCATAACCCTCTCTTCCATAGAAGAATAGTTCCTGTGCAACAATCCTTCCCCCGCTCCCATACACTCCCATGCGCTCCCATGTACACTACTGGTTTTACTGTTATTACTTCTTAAATGCCAAACATTTTATTAAAGTATCTATTATAAATAGTGAAAATATAAATTAATTGCATAAAGAAATATACACCTAGGTACTTAAATATTATGTAAAAAATACTTAGAGTCGATGGAGTATAAATATTTATACGTAAGTGCATAATTAAGATTTTTTAAGTTACTGCCGGAGCTAGAGGAAAAAATTGAACATTTAGCGAATTTCCCAAAAAATTTTAAGGGTTCCCGTGAAAAGTCTCTAACATACACGTATACGGGGGCCGAGCCATCATCGCCTAGTTACTCCGATAGGATAGAACCTTAGTACCTATTACTGAAATATAAATACAAATTTATCAGTGACCTATTCTTATTTTTATCAACTACAAAGATTAACAGAAATATAACGTTGTCATTAAAAAATAAAAATATAGGTAAGGGACACAAATTGTTGCGTAATATTAGTATATTATTATAATACTTTTTCAAAATTGACTAATTAAGCTATATCTTAAATATCTTACCTATGTAGGTTTAGTACTCTGATATATATATTATTATTACATATTATGTGTGCGTGTTGACATTTTAAAATTATTCGAATAGTCTTCAATGTATTCTTTGAAAATATATAATATACCTATATCCTGAAGGTACATTCTTATACGTACATTCTATTTCAACGTCCCGTAGATGACTATCTTTTAGATTCTGTGTGGAACGAGGAATGTATTGGTTTTACAATGATATCATTTTTTTTTTCCTTTGAACAACTTTTCTACCACCAATTTCGCTCCGATTTACAATGAAAGCACTTTTTCTGAAGGAAAATCTGACTGGGATGGTAAGTAATTTTTTTGATTTTCTCAGGAGTTTTCCCAATAAATGAGAAAAACGTAGGAAAACAGGAAAGTAGGTACAATATTAAATAAACATTATTAAAGAAAATATATAATGTATGTGTAATTATTTTATCATAATATGACATATTATGTATTTTTGACAAAGCAACACTATCGTCTGAACTCTGAATCTGAGTGGAGTTCCACTCAGAATCGATTTTTCGTTAGCAATGGTTATTCGTTGCGTACGTATATATATTAAATTTCCTTTTTACTACTTTCTTAACTTCTCACCTACAACTGTGGTCCACCCACGTGCAAAGTACGTCCGTCTCTTTTAATTACGCGAATCTACGAATTTACAATATTATTGTATTATACAGAGATAATATAGAATAATGTGTATTTTGTACCAATTCTAGAACAAAATTGTTTATACAAAAAAAAGAAAAAATATAAAAAACAGAACTGATTGCGTAATTTATATATTTTTATCATAATATGATATCCGTTTATGTGCAAAATATACTTTATTAAAATCTCCAATGTATATTTTTTTTAGCAGAATGTGGGAGGCGATGTATGATGTCAACATGGACGGAACGAATGATTTTTATAACAATATGATAGATACGCCATCGTCACAGGTAAGACTTCTATTAATAGCATTGTATTACCTATTATAATAAATGTTTAAAATAGAAAACTAATTTTTTAAAATTCGCCTCTTGGATAGGTCATTTGAGGGGAGGGGAAGTGGTAGATCATAACGAACATATTTTATTTTTAGATTGGCATCTACCAACCAAAAACGAATTTTGCCCAAAAATTGCTTTTAAAGACTGTGAAAAACACACCATTTTGGGAGAAGTTATTCGTAGGTATAGGAAAATGTTCTGAAGATAACGCTCTGACCCATTTCCAAAATCTCATCTATGAAAACTTGATCTATTAACTTTGTTATATATTGTAATCAAAATATCGTAAGTCACTCATTATCTCGGAAAGTGGGTGACAAAAAATAACATAAAAGTAAAATTGTAGAGCTGCTTGTTTCTCAAATTATCTATAAAATAGATTCCGAAAAAATGAGTGTCTTACGATAGGACGATCACTCTGTATATATATCTATCGATAATTTGAATTGCATGCCTATTACAGAAACATGTTTTTAAATTACCTTCCAAGAATATGGCATTTATTTAGTTTTAATTAACATACAAAACCGAACCAGTTCTTCACCAAAAAGAAAAATAGAAATCTAGCTAATCTACAATAGGGGAATGCGGCAAAATTTTTTTTCCAAATTTTGATTTATCAAGTTTTGCTAACCGTCAAATATAAGTAGGTAGGTACACCACTGACACCGTTGCTAAACATAGGTATTGAAAAAAATTTTGCCCCTAAAATATTATATTAAAATTTAAAACTGTTATTTTGCGGTCAGTAAAAAACATGTTTATTCGATTTTAGTACGAGCTCGATTGCGGTTACAATTATTTTGTTAACTACGAACTCGGTAAAGATACTACGGCAGTGTTCACAAACCTGAAAATAGAAGACTATTCGGAACACACTTACGAGACTCTCGAGACTAGTTATCAGCCGGTCAATAATGGCGAACAACTGCAACAACAGTGGCAATCTACGTCCGATCAACTCTCCCAACACGTCCCCGTGTATAATCCGCCGGACAACTATTACATGCATTCCAACGACAAAAACTATTTACTACCCACCATATTAGGTACTTTTGTGCAGTCAACGTACCTATAAAACACATTTAATTTTACTGTAGATCCTTTTCAATTCCTCTAATCTAATATGCCCCGATATTTTTTTTTTATTGCAGACGTTGACAAGAATTATCACAAAGCGACCGCGTCGATCGTGAAAAAACGAGCGGGACGACCACGTGGGGCTAAAGTCAAAAGATCAAAAGCCGAGCCCAAACTCAGTAGGATATGGGAATTTATCAGAGACTTGCTATTGGACTCTCAATACTGTCCAACGTACATCTGTTGGGAAAATTACGAGGAGGGCCGATTCAGATTCGTGCAGAGCGACAAAGTGGCCAAATTGTGGGGTAAATTCAAACGCAACGAGAGAATGAATTACGAGAAATTCAGCAGAGCTATGCGATATTATTATAAGACTGGTGTTTTATTGCCCGTCCAAGGAAAACGGCTTGTTTATAAATTTGGACCAAAAGCTACTGGATGGCATACAAACAATCCAAATTTTAAATATGATTTTTAAATAATATTATTTTTGATTGATGTGTTTGTATATATATATATGTTATACTTAAACTTATGAGTGTGTATTAGTGTACAATTTTTTACTTTATAACTTGCCTACTTATGTAAGTTTGTTACAGTTATTTATGTAAATTGTTTGATTAACATTGTAATTGTTGTGAAAAGAAGAAAATACCTCAATTATTTATACAAGTATACGATTTGTGTACAAAGTAATTACTGTAGATGTTTACAAGCTTAAAATGTATTAAATTTTGTTTATACTGTAGTTATTATTTAAGCGCTATATATATTTTTCATAAAATCTATACATACACGTAGGTAATCAATAATATTAAACAATATAAATTGTATTAAAATAAAGTCTGATCAAAATGTAAAATTATAACTAACTGTTAAATCATAATATTATAATACATTTCCAATTAACAAGAAAAATATTGAAAATGATTTTATCAGTTATTACAATATTTGTGAAAAATAGAGTAGAGCCTCATTAATAAGAATAGACATCAAGTAACATATAAACTATGCAATTTATACAGAAGATCAAAATAAACATGAAACGAGTTCCACAAATTTCCCCTGAATGCTTTTATTGTGATTATTTATAAATTACTTACATTTTAATACATATTCTTAAATCTATAATAAATAAAAGGTATTTTTTTTTAGTTGAGGCCGGTGAACTTTTAAATAATAAAAAAAATACACAGATTTTGGTTGTTTTGTTTAATCAGAACAACCTAGAGTCCCAATAAATCTGAATTAATGAGGTTCTATTGTAATCTTATATTTTGATTTTAAAATTCAAAACATCATAGTTTTTCGATCTCATTTATATTATATAATTTAAAATTATAGCAAAATATAAGTTTTTGTTTTATATTAATATAAATAATAATTATATATAAGTTAAAAATCAAATAAATAAATAAATTGAATAAATAATAATTTTTGAAACAAAATAGGTTTCATAATAAATTACATTTGTTTTACAAAAATAATGTTTATTTATGCCTTAAATTATTTAATCTTGCTTGAAGGTCTGCATCATTATCATTTGGTTGTGTAGCAGCACCACTACCTTCATCTTGAGCCACCATTGACATTTTGTCTGTGGCAGCTAAACTTATTGACCCAGAGACTGAGGGCAATCCAGACAATTGGTCTGTAAGCTGAAGACCTAACTCATCTAATACTTGTATTACAATTTGATCTCTGAAAAAAAGATTTCACTTTTAATAATAACAAACACTTGAAAGCTATAATAATATTTATGATTATGTGCTTAACCCTTAATACATTCTCAATTAAATTTAAAATTATATTTTAAATGTTCAACTAGTATGTAAGCATTTGAACTGCCAATATATATACATAATTAGATACAAAGTAGTATTACTTTCTCCCACAGTTCTATAAATAATTTAAATTATGTATAGGTTTGTTACTCTCAGTAATAATGTATTACATTGTAAAAAAAAAAGCAATATCTTTACAATCCTCAAAACAAATTACTATTATTTATTTATAATAAAAATAATATTATTAATTCATACGTTTCTCCTTCATCCCCTTCGTCTTCCATTGCATCATCTATAGCATCATTCAATACTTCTTCTTTCATGTCCATAATTTCAGACTGTTTTTCAAAATCTTGTAATATCCTTTGAATTTGAGGTAAATTCAACTGTCTAATACAACACACAAATGTATATTGTTATCTAGTATTATTATAATCAGTTATAAAGTGTATACTACTACAGTTTGAATGATAAATATTTATACATAATAATTGAAATTTTAATTATTGATGTATCAAGAACATTTAATAGTCATTAGATAACAGTTATTTTTCACTGATATTTGATTATTATTAAATAATAAAAAATACACCTGTTCATATTATGAATTACTTTAGTCACACCTTTCATTGCTTGACCCATTTCATTTTGCGATTTTAGTATTTGTATTTTCAATGATACCGCTTGTACATTTGCCTTCATCATCATAAATTTTTTTTGGTAATGTCTCGTTCTCACCAAGTCTCTTGCCATGATTTTCACAGATTCCTAAATCAACAAAATATTCATCTAAACTATTTAACAATTAGTAGGCTAATACCATTGATTAAAAATAGTTAAATAAATATATATAATCAATTCTAATACTTAAATTCTTGAAAATATGCTATTAATAAAATAAAAACAATTTGTTAAATGAAAATATTTAGGATTTAATGTAACACTTCAGGCTATTCGAGATGGTTTCAGTTTACTATTGATTAGATAATTAATAATACCTTATAAATTAAAATTATCACTATTATAATATTTTGAATGTTTAACCCATTGTCGGTATTGTCATGTTTTGTGACAAGATTGCTATCTGGTTAGCGTTACACTAACATGGTCATTTTTTGTTTCTATAAATTATTTAATGAACTTAGAATAGTGAAATAAAGATAAAAATGTTTATCTAGTTATTTCCGACAAAAATTTGATTATCAATAGTAAATATCATTCAAATTTTCTATATTAAAAATTAAAAACAAATAATTAATTTAGTAAAAAATATAAATATTATTGAAAAAAAAAAATTACTGATTTATAAAACAAAACCTGTTAAAATAATACAAATTATAAAAAAAAGGTCATTAAAAATGATAATTCATCATTCAAAATTTTTGAGTTTTCTTTTACGGTATAACATATAGGACAAGTATGCTCTTTACACACATATACAACACATGACGAACTGACCTTTAAAACTTAGGAATAATAAAAAATTGCCATATTACCGAGTATAAAATATTTTATCTAAATGAATAACTTCATAATGATAATTATTGCTAATTTTATAAAATAAAAAAATATTGATGGCATAGATCATGCAAGTGTAACGTTAACATAATCGATAATGATGAATTTGACTGTTCATCTATTCTGCGATAATACCTATAAATTGGTGTTAATAATTTGTTTTTGTTGTTATTTTAGTATAATATTATGTCAATAAGAGGTACATGTAATTTCGAAACAACATATTTTTATATGAAGAAGTAGTTCCTAACATAAATTTACTGTTAGCAAAACGTTGATAACAATGACAGGTTAAATACTATGTTTTTACCTTTTTTTGTATCGAGTGATCTAATGTAGAAATAAATTATGATAGGTTCATAATTTTCTTTAGGTTTTTTAGTGTTAACAATAGTCGTTAATCAAGAAAATAATTAACAAGATATGTAACATTATAACAAATAAATCACTAGTTACATTTAAAACAATATAGTATTAACCTGTTGATTGTTCTACGAACAAATTTACTAAAGTAATAGATAACTTGCCATACAAATTCTCTAATGATATAAAAACATTATTTAGTTATGAAAACAAAACTTAATATTAAAATATTAATTATATAAGAAATTTATATTAAGGTTAGTATGAAATTTGTAATTCATATCAGTAAATCAAATTTAACTTTTTTAAAAATAAAATACCATGATTTACCATTTTTCCATCTTTGGCCATTTTCTTTATGTCCATAATAATTTTCTTTTCTTGTTGTTTCATTCTCATATTTTCATTGTCCAAATCGCGTAATGCTCTATTGAGAGCTCGTTGATTCTTTCTTAACATTTCGTTGGGTGTCATACGGCATCCAAATAACAATTTCAACGGCATATAGTATTCTGGTAATTACTTGGTTTATAATGTAAAGTAAAATTTCAAATATTTACTTTGTCACAAATATGTAATATTAGTAATATTAGTATCTACCTAACAAATAAGTAAAATTTGATGACTCATCGGTTTTTTTTAAACTCAACTACTGTCCCAAGAGCCATTTATTATTTGAAAGATAAAATATAAACATAATTACCTATTAAGTATGTAAATAAAACACTTGTATTTTGTGTGAGAGATAATAATAGGTTCAATTTCTAATGTTATTATAAGTAGAAGAAAAGAAATAAAGGTACACTAAATTATCAATTTAGTCAATGATTTATCAATGATGTCACCATTACAAATTCAGATATACTATCTATCTTAATCGACAGTCTTAGGTTATTCTAGGTCTTAATCCGTGATCACCATAGACATAATAGATACCTTATATATATAGAATATGAACTGTACAAAATATTATTAAAATTAAATTTTGTTTAACTTTTGGCTAAATGTTGTGTTAAGTAATTATTTTATTCATTATTTTGAGGGCTTCTCTAAATACTTATATTTGAAATCTAATACAAATATGGATAGGAATTAAAATTCCTCCCACAAAACCTGTCTATTAAAATGTGTTTTCAAAACTTTAATCTGCCTTTTGTGTTTGAAGAGTGTAAAAGTTTTGAAAGTTTATTTTATTTTATATCCAAGGTTATTTAAAGACTATGCATTTGCTTGTATACCATAAATAGTTAGGAGTTCTTAGTTTGCTTTATACTAAAAAATTAAATATTAAAGAACTTACATCATAATTTTTAGGCCGGTTTCTGACTATTTTGCTATTTGTGGTTACTTACTACATAATGAATAACAAAAAACTCGTTTGAATATTTGTTATAGTTTGTGTTAATCGGCACTATATGGTGAATATCCATGGATAACAACCAATATATGAGTTGTGGGAACTGGCTTTATAGGTAGTTTAATATGTCATTAATTACCAGAGCTGTCAATTTATTGCACTAAAAAGTGTTAAATATGCATTGAACAATTCCAAAATTGGACAACTTTGTAATAATACGAAAAAATCATGAAAACATGGATTTATATGTCCTAACCTGTTAAATATGCAAAATAAGATTTCAAATTTTAGTTATAGATAGCCAAAACAAATTCTGGTTAAATCCTTTTTCTTACTTGATTTAGTGAAAAAAAACATACAAATACATTAAATTCATGGTCCTGTGAATTACTATTTGTTCAATATACAATATACCAGATGATTAATTTAAGTGGGTACACTCATTATCTCAGAAAGTATTAACTTTTTTCTAAAACTTTGTTTTCTAGAACATTTAAGAAACAACCAGCTCTACAATTTTCTATTTATGCTATTTTTTGTAACCCTTATTTTTGGAGGTAAAACCACTACCTACTTTTAGTTTTCAAATGGCAACCTGTATTAAAAAGTCCATAAATAGATGGAGTATTAGTTAAAATCAATTTTAATGTTAACATTTTTGAATTCTGTTAAACTGTTGACGAGATATCCCACTTTTAAGTTTGGGTTGAAGGAGAGTAGTGGAGTGTCATTTGTGTGGCAGTACAGCGCATGACATGTTATTAATGCACCACTACTTTCTTTCAACCTAAAGTGGAATATCTTGTTAACAGCTTGACAGAAATAAAAAATGTCAATACTCAAATCTATTTTAACTTTAACTCCATTTATTTAGGGAATTTTTAATACAGGTTGCCATTTAAAATCAAAAGTAGATAGTAGTTTTACCTCCAAAAATAAGGGTTACAAAAAATAGCATAAATAGAAAATTGTAGAGCTGGTTGTTTCTTAAATGTTCTAGAAAACAGATTCTGAAAAAATTTAATACTTTCAGAGATAATAAGTGTATCCACTTAAATGAACCGCTTGGTACAAACTAGTATGTAAAAATAATTTACTGTATTGCTTCAAGACTGGTTTTAAAAATTAATTTTTCATTTAATAAATTTAATACATTATTTTTAAGAAGAAATTACGAATAAGAAAACCAAAGTAATACTATTCACAACGAGGTTTATACTAGTTGATGTAAATTGTTTGATTTAATATATATTTCTGAGTAAACTACAATAACTAGAATATAATATAAGTATAATGTTTAATTTATGTACATCACTTTAAAATAGCATTGCTTTTATTTTTTTTTAATTAACTCTAATGTTTTACTAATCCTTCAATTTTCTTAAATACATTATCGGCTGATTGGTCGGAAAGTTGTTCAGATTTCTCTTGTCCAAATTCTAAACAAATAAAACATATAATAGTTCATAAAAAAAATTTATTATTATAATGATAAATAATTGCCGAAAACTAATTATAAATATTAGATAGGTATATTACAGTATATTTACATAGTCTTATAAATAATAAATATTCATCAGCAAAATAAATATTAAGTCATAATTTATTATTTTAGAAATATACGAGTAATACAATTAATTGAACTAACTATGTAGTTTAATCCACAATGACCTTTAGTTATCCTTTCTGCTATATTTAAATTTATATATCATATGCTTACCATAACGTGCAAAAACTTTTGGCTCAATACCGCTACATTCGCGCACTAATATGGGAAACTGTGGATTAGCTTTTTTTAACGGCACATAATATTTTTCAATAAATTGCCTGTAAATGTTTACATAATTAATCAGCATTCTTTGTAAAATAGTTAATAAAGTCACTTACCTAACTCCTTTACTGGAGGCAGACGTTTGACATAGGTGTACACGTAGTTCTTTCAAATGGCTTCCAAACTTAATTGCCGACATTTTGATACGAGCAAAATAAATGTCAAAAATACAAAGTTATAAGTAAAATTGGTAAAACTTATTGTAGTTATAAAATAATTATTATCGTTTACTAAATGATAAGAATTATCAACCATCTGAAAAGAGTTGTTAAGGGGAACGGTTCAATTTTTTCCGGAAGATGGCGTTGTCATTTCAGAGATCGACTCTCCTCTTACACAAATTTAAAATTGGAATGTCTCATGGCAAAATTACTTCGGATGTAAAGACCTGTAGGGGCTTTGCCCCCACACGGTCACACTCCCAACATTTTAAAAACAAATAATTTTTTAATTCAATCATATTACTATACATTATTAATATTAAATACATTGTAAATCAATGCAATTCTTTTTATACCTATTGGTACATATTGCTTTATTTTAACGTACTACAATTGATTAAATATTCTGAATGTATATTTAATCAATGGTATTACTATACGTAATGAATTATACATGTATTGGTAATTTAAATTTTTGTTTTATTATTATTTTTTTAGCAGATTGAGTATTGTATTGGTTTTACAAAGATGTTTATTTTTTTTTCTGGAAACAACTTTTCTACCAGCAATTTTGCTCAGATTTTAAATTATACAACTTTTTCTGAAAGGAAGTTTGACTGGGGTGGTTAGGGACTTTAAAACAAGGGACAAATTTTGAGGAAGTTTTATTTTGTGAAATTCCTACGAGTTTTTTTGACTTTATAAACGACTAGATTGTCAATAATTTCAGGGTTACATAGGTTGATAAAGATACGGCTATGGCGACGACACCAACAACAAACAACATACCTATTCTCGTTACTATCGGTACCGATATCGAAAAGTAATACCTAACTTAAAATTTAATAATATTAACAAAAGGCCGGAAATATTTCGGTGAAAAGTTTGGAGAATATAGGGTATTATAGTATAATTTAGTTTATATAAACTTATATATAAGTTTATATATAGATAAATACCTACTGTGAGCTACGATAAATCATTGAAATCAAAAAAACGATTCTGAACAGAGCTTGGCCAATTGATAAGGTTACAGTACCTATTAGTCATGTTTTCCCCTAGTAACTAAAGTAATCTAAATATGGTGTGCCGGATTATTTCGGAAAATGAATGCCAAGAACGTATAAATTACAAAAAGTATCTCACGATTTCGTCACATTATAATATATTAATACCTATTATACTCGAATATAGATTCTGTAAATAAATACGTATTTAACATACCGTAGAAGTTTCTAACTTTGGTAATACTTTAAAACTACTTTTCATACTCCTATGGTTAAGTTTAATATAACTAAAAAGTTAGGTTTCTGTAAGCACAACAAATACCTGAAGTAAATTTTTGAGTAAATGAAAAACTCTTTTAAAGCTCTACTTTTATTGGCATGCAATCTTGAGTAAATAGAAGCACCCACCAACTGCTGCCAAAAATTCTATTCAACCTGCGTAATAAATGCGAATAGAATCAAGGAATATATTTTTAAAAAATAAAATTTAGTCAATAGGTAGCTTTTAATAAATAATAAAAACAAATTAACACTTTTAAATTAAAATACAAGTCAATACAAATAAGAATTTAGTTTATTATGTGGTATTATTATAATTTAAACACATTATATTATTAATATAAATTTAATTTGTATCAATGTTAAACATAATCACACCCCTTTTTGATGTTTCGGTTATTATCTAACCGTACGGTTTTTAATTTTTAGATTTCGGAGAAATAGGCTCGGAAAAATGTCCAGATTTATATAGTCCTCCCCAGAAAAAAGCTAAAATAAAACTAATGTAGCATAGCTGGCAGGTACCTATACCTCTTTGTTATCAGTTTCTTCTACTAGCACTTTATTATAAAGATCTTTTAACCTGACTATACTTAATTCCCCTAATATTTTCCACTCTTCGACTGGTATACTTCATTTGGACTTACCGCTTTTTTATTTTTTATTGCTCCCACAGCCAGTGGCACAACTAGGATTTTTTGAAGGAGAAGGGGTGTCACATGTCTACGTTAAAAAAAAATACGTCTTTTAACACATTTACAATAATTAAACACAGACATAAGGGTGTGTCCAGACACCCAAAACACCTCCCTGGACGTGCTATTTCCCACAGCCCACTACACTTCCTCTTTCCCAACTAAACCTACCAAATCTCCGTTCCACGAAACACTCACTAACGTCTCCTGAATACCTACTTTTCATTAATACCTACTTTTCATCTTCACCCTTTTTTGATATTGTGTATATTTTAAATTATAATACGAATGAACACTGAATAGTGTAATGCTTGGATACGTTTTCGATATTGCTAATATTTGTACAATATATATCTTATTACATTACATAGTTTGTCTTTCTTAATTTTACTGTAGGTATCTAAAACTATAGCAAGAACCTACCCTTTTACATCGTATTTGACCCTTGAATTTCAATAAAATGTCAATTTTATTTGAACACAGCACACATTAATTTCGAATAGTTATTAATAATGTCGTTCAATCGCCTGTCTGTTAAAAATATATAGAAAATAATATTGTAATTCTAGATTTTGACGTTCCCATAGTTTTTGTTCAAGAAACAGGAAAGTTCAAGGTTTTACGAGGGTTCTTTTTTGACGCAATAACATTTTGACGTTTTTCTATAGTCGATTCAAATGGCAGGTATGCAAACAAACGCGATGTGTTTCGGCAATAAAAATAATTTCGGGCTAATGTATTATGCATAATACATGATTATAATCGAGAAATACGAAGAAAATTAGAGTTTATTTTGTACACCATTGTCGTGAAAATTACATATTCTTCCCCGAGGGAGGTGTATAGAAGGGTTTGCGAAACATAACGAACGTTCTTGTTGGCACTACAAAAACCGAAAGCGCGGAACGTCGTGTCTTTTCCATAGAGTTACTTTATTATTACGGGTAGTTGACGTTTTTTAAATAGAGATATTATTCCCGTGCTATCCGCAGTTCGTTTGAAATTCTTAGTTGGGATTTGTTTAAAAACGTCGAGAAAATTGCAAAATGGTCGGGAAAATTGCTATAGGAATCGATCTAGGCACCACGTACTCGTGCGTGGGCGTCTGGCAACATGGACGAGTGGAGATCGTGGCAAACGACCAAGGCAACAGGACAACACCGAGCTATGTGGCGTTCACGGACACCGAACGGCTGGTGGGCGACGGGGCCAAGAACCAGGTGGCCACAAATCCCGGCAACACGGTGTTTGACGCCAAACGTCTGATCGGCCGTCGGTTCGATGACACCAACTTACAGGCGGACATGAAACACTGGCCGTTCACCGTGATCGACGATTGCGGAAAGCCGAAAATCCGGGTACAATTCAAGGGCGAGTGGAAGGTATTTGCACCCGAGGAGATCAGCTCAATGGTGCTGTCGAAAATGAAAGAGACGGCCGAAGCATACTTGGGTTGCGGTGTGACCGAGGCCGTCATTACGGTGCCGGCTTACTTTAACGATTCGCAGAGACAGGCGACCAAAGACGCAGGCACCATAGCCGGACTCGAAGTGATGCGGATAATCAACGAACCAACGGCCGCGGCCTTGGCATACGGTCTGGATAAGGAACTGAAAGGCGAGCGGAACGTGTTGATATTCGACCTGGGTGGCGGTACATTTGACGTGTCCGTCTTGCAGATCGATCAGGGGTCCATGTTTGAAGTGAAATCTACGGCTGGTGACACACACCTGGGAGGCGAGGACTTCGACAACCGTCTAGTGACGCACCTGGCAGACGAATTCAAGCGGAAATTCAAAAAGGACATCACCTGCAATCCCAAAGCGCTGAGACGGTTAAGGACGGCCGCTGAACGGGCTAAGAGGACGCTGTCGACCAGCTCGGAGGCCACCGTCGAGATTGACGCTTTGATGGACGGAATAGATTTTTATATCAGGGTGTCCAGGGCTCGGTTTGAAGAACTGTGTATGGATCTGTTCAAGTCAACACTTCAGCCGGTCGAGAAAGCGTTAGTCGATGCTAAGTTGGATAAGGGAGCCATAGACGACGTGGTCCTGGTGGGAGGCTCGACGAGGATCCCAAAGATCCAGAGTCTTCTGCGGGATTTTTTCGGCGACAAGTCTCTGAACCTGTCCGTCAATCCCGACGAGGCGGTGGCGTACGGTGCCACCGTGCAGGCGGCCATTCTCAGTGGTGACACTAGTTCAGCTATCCAAGACGTGTTGCTCGTGGACGTTACTCCGCTGTCATTGGGCATCGAGACCGCGGGAGGCGTCATGACCAATGTAGTCGACCGCAACACCATCATTCCGTGCAAACAGACGCGTACATTCACTACGTACGCGGACAACCAGCCGGCCGTCAGTGTCCAAGTATTCGAAGGGGAAAGGGCCATGACTAAGGATAACAACTTACTGGGTACATTCGATCTGACCGGTATACCGCCGGCCCCCAGAGGCGTACCCAAGATCGACGTGACGTTCGACTTAGACGCCAACGGCATTTTGAACGTGTCGGCTAAAGACAACAGTTCAGGTCGGTGCAAAAACATCGTCATCAAAAATGACAAGGGCCGCCTGTCCCAGGCCGAAATTGATCGAATGCTCGGTGATGCTGAACGGTACAAAAAAGATGACCAGCGACAGAAGGCAAAAGTCGCGGCTAAGAACCAGTTGGAAAGTTATGTGTTAAATGTGAAACAAGCATTGGACGGAGCCGGCGACAAGTTGACCAAATCTGAGAAGAGCGTATGCAAAAAGGAATGCGACGCTATAGTCGGATGGATGGAAAACAATCCGTTGGCCGATGAAGACGAGTATGCGTTTAAGCTAAAGGAACTCCAAAAGAGCTGCTCGAGTCTGATGACGAAATTGCATGGTAGACAACCTACACGGACGACCGGTGGAAGTAGGACACATTCATCCCAAGGGCCTACAGTGGAAGAAGTCGAAGATTAAACTCATGCATCCCATATTTCCTTTTCACTTATTATAGTTTTATTGATTTTCTAAGTTCTAGTGTTTGTATTATTTTATTTTATCACAAAAAAATAAAGTTCTTTTCATTATTAGAATTTAGGTCAAGGTATTAAGTATTGCTGTATTAGTCATGATTATGAACAATAGTATTCATAATATTAGTATTAAGTCTGCTAATGTTTGTATTTATATTTCCTTACATTTTTCTTTTGATAAAAAACCAAAGGTATTTTCAAATTTTACTATTCAATTTTAGCATTAGTAGCAGACACACAAATTTAGTGTTTTTATTCATACTACATGAATAAAATTACCGATTTACTTTTAGATGATTTTGAGTGTATCAATATTTGATTAATTACTTATTAAACAAATATTAATTGTAGGTACCACAATATTTTTATCATCTAATTTACACTTAATATGATAGGTAGTAACCTATTGTAGTTCACTTACTTATTTACTTTTTAATTAATTTTGAAATAAAATATGTTCACTATAATCGTCGTATAAATATATTTTTCAATTTATTTTTATCCTTGTTTATTGATCAAAACATAGTAAATTATTGTGTAAATACAATATTTAATAGATGAAACTATAATTATTGTTCATAAACAATTGAATATAATCTTTTGAAAAAAGTAAATACAATAATTTAAATTTTTAAAAAGCTGATTATATAGATGAGTGTGCCACTGCTGTAAGTGGAAAGTTGGTATAGTAAGATAATAAGATGTTAAAAGAGATTAAAATTATTATTTTTACCTACACTTGAAAACATTTAAAATAATGAAATTGTAACACTACTTGTTTGTCTTCTATGTAGTTTTCTTGTTTTTAAGAATTATTAAAAAACTTTTTGGAAAATCATAAAATTATTTACTTACTCACCAACTAAATCCAAAATTCTACAAAAGGGTTCACTTGTCATGTTTTGATTGTCAACAAATTTTTGGTAGAAAAGTTATATACAAACTGAAAAAAAATCACACACATCAAAGTAAAATCAATACAGTAGTATATGAGTTTTGGGAGGTAAACAAAAAAATATAATAATGTAGCAGACATGAAAATGCTGAAGTGGATAAATAGAATGACGGGATAAGATAGATGAGGAATGAGTACATAAGAGGTAAGTTAGGAGTAGATAGTAGACAAAATGACAGAAAATAAATTGGGATAGTTTGGGCATATCAGGGAAGAGAGAAATTTGAAGCAGAAAGAATTGTAATGAAAATAAACATAGGAGGAAAGAGGTGGAGAAGACTGAAAAGGATGTTGGATTCAATTGATAATAAGAGGTCAGCTGATGTATGTGAGATCAAGTCAAGTGAAGGTTTAGAAAGATGGTGGTCGACCCTAAATAGTTGGGATGACGGCGAAGAAGAAGAAGAAGAAATACTGAAACTTATTTCTTGAGTGAAAAGTGAATTGTATTTGTATGTACAAATATTCCATTTTATGTTTAAATTAAGTTAATTTGAAAAAATATTATTTTATTTTTGTTTTTTGGATTTGCCAACATGTAACTTGAGAAGAGGTTAACTTAAGGTTCAAGTTTAAAGTTAATTATATAATATGTTGGTTTTTATAATATATTATTTTCAATCTTAAATGTTTAAAATCAAATAATAATAGTTATAGCATTTTTAGATTTTCTTTATTATTGGTACCTACCTAAATATGTTCGTTATTAACAGTAAGGATTAAAAAATAATATTAACAACAATAAACGACAACATTTTAAATAGAACAAATTTTACATAAATAGCTAGGTAATAAAACAAAAAAAACCAAATTAAGAAAGAGCTGATACTGGGGATTGGAGCGGCCACTGTTGTAGGAGAGAAGTTCGGAAGGTATAGGACACTTAAGGTTATTTCATTTATATCTGTAAGCAACGATAAACCATTGCTTAACGATAGACAATTTTGAGTGCAGTTTGGTAATACATAATTTAAAGTGCTGTAATTTTTTTGCGATTTTCGTTTAATCTGATTTCAAAACGATTATTAAAAAAAGGAAAAAGTTGTACAATGATTTTGGAATTTTACCATGTTTAGGTAAGTCAAATATAAGTATTATTACCAAGTTTTAAGTCTCTACGTGTATTTATAACTGAATTACAGCAAAAAAACTCCCAAAAATTAAAATTCCTTAAAAACTTAAAAGTGGGTCAAAAGTTTCTTAGATGACACTGTAAGAAAGTAAATCAATAAGGCAACAAAAAAGGTGTCCATGTGTTTATAAAAAAAATGAAATCGTGAAATTGTACGTTTTCCTAAGATTTTTCTCACTCAAGTGCTTTTATTTGAAAAATCAAATGACCTCTTTACAGTACAATCTAGAAAAGTTGCTACACGTAACCAAAAACTATAGACTAGAAAAAAATAAAATAAACATCTTAATAAAACCAATAGCTCCCTCGGTACACTCGAAATCAACCAGAATGGTTTTATTAACAACTGTCATCACTAATTTTTTTACTCTCATTTTTAGTTCATGGCTAACCATTTTATGATATGCAATAATAACAAAAGTCAATAGTTCCACATGTTCTTAATTACATATTACTATTGCTATATACCTACACTAAACCTTCAAAAACACTTTTACCAGTTGACACACGGATAACTTACTTGATTTAACATATATGTGTAATGACAATCTAAACAGTAATTTATTTACTATTAATGTTAGTTGTGGAATAATTTGTAACAATTTTAGTAATTTCGTAAAAAACCATAGTTTAATGTCAATATAAATAATTTAATATGTTGAATATCCTTGCAATTATTATTATACAAGTTATACAAGATGCAAGAATGTAGACAGCCAGATAAAAATGCATCAGCAAATTATAAAAGCTTAATATTATTTAAAATGATCAGTACAAAAATAGACGTTACTCGTTAATTATAGTAATAAATTAATATTACATATTATATTCATATCTTTTAATATTATACATATTATCTATTTAATATCAAAGTTTAAGAATTCACTTATAAATGATAAAATATGATAGGACAATTTAAAATATATATAACTATAAAGTATAACAATCATAGCATAAAAATGATACTCTGATAATGAATTTTCAGATACAAAAAAATAAACTTATTCTATACAATTTAATTTAATACTATTGTTTTCAAGTCTTAAAGACACATTGATTAGAGAGGGCTAAACTTCGAAAGATAATATAATAATATATATGTATATATATTTTTTTTATTTATAAAATGGATAATGAATCAATAAAGATAAAAAAAAAAAATTGTATAAGTACTAAAAGTAATAAATTATTATAAAACTATTTAAATTAAGCACAATTAATATTTTAGCAGGTACAAAAATGGTATATATAGGATATACAAATACAACTAGAATCTAAATAAGTAAAGCCCGCTCCACCATATGTGCATTGTAATGAAGGAGTAGAATCTTATTAGATATGCTATTCACGTTTTCCTAGAAAACGGCCAATGTGATCGAGACCTTTGGGTTCCACTGCTGCTTACAGTTGATGATGAAGATGACGTCGAGTTTGAGCGTAGGTTATGAGACCCAGAACCAGTTGATGAACAAGAGTTAAGGCTAGTAGTAGATACTTGGCCTCCATTGGAGAACATGTCCATAACACAAGGCCTAGAGTTGTTCTTATCGAATGATTCTAAATAATACAAAACATTTATCATTTTCAAAAAGTCATCAACATTATTAATTAATTATTTAGTAATTTAAATTATGTAATGTATTTTATATTTTAATTCTGTAAATAGAATTTTAGATAAGATAAAATATTTTATTTTAAATTTTCGCTATGTATTGTGTTACTTATTTTTCCTATTTTACTTTAGAATGAAGAAATTTTATTTTGTATTTTTTAATAACTATCAATTTTTAAAGCATTTTAGTGTTTTATGGACAACTTTGAAGATTATTGGTCCAAAATTTGAATTTGAAATTTTTTTTATAGTATTTTTCATGATAACATGATTTTTGTATACTTAAAAAAGTACTAAATAAGTAATCATATTATTATATTATCGACAATAATAATTAGTAGTAGTTAAATCTAGATAACAAAAGGCATTGACCTATGGAAAAATGAACAGTTTCTTTGAAATTGCTGAATTTTCTGTTTAATAATCTGTTGAAGTTATATAAATGATATTGAATTTTGATGATACTGTTCAGTACGAGTTTTTCCAGATTAAAAGTAGTCCAGTTTTGTCTGTAAGACTTTTTATAATTTAAATTCAAACATTATTTATTTCAAAATTATTAAAATTAAAAAAATTACTAACATTTATTAGAATTTTTAGGAAATTTGTTTGTTGTTTTATAGGGTATTTCTTAGCTCTATTTTTAATATTAATATTTTTTAAATAAATAACGTATTATAAATTAAAATATAAAAAATATAAAGAAATATATTTCTTTCTGTGTTAATTTATAGACAATTTGTTGATATCCCTTTAAACATTATGTCAATAGAATTATCTCATACAGTGTCATTGTAATACAGGGTTTTTAGACCTTCATTTTTACATTTAAAAGTTCAAAATTGCACATATTAAATGTAAAAACTATACATCAGCCTTAAATATATTAGTTAATATTAAACTATTATACAATAATAATAATAACTACCTATAAAATAAATTAATAACTAATAAGATAAGTACAAGTAACACAAATACTTAAAATGTTATATCATATCATATATTGTAATAAAAACCATAAATAGAATAAAACTGTACTTCATAAATTGATACTATAAAATATAATTAGTAAAAATTATAAAAAGTAATTATTCAGTATTTTTATTACCAAATAGTGGAGTTTCATCATAAAGAGAACCTTGTCGCTCAGGCTTGACAAATGAATGCCTGCTGGTTTCTAACAGTTGTACTTCCATGACATTTTCAGCCGCTTTTTTCCATCTAAAGAAATTATTAAATTAAAAATAAATTGTCAAGCATACAAATTTATTTAAAATATTTCATACTTGTAATGTTCTTTGGTATGTTGCACTAAATATTTTAGCCAATTACCCTTTTCTTCGCCGTTTTCTACTGAAAATACAAATGATACAGTTCGTTTTTCCGATTCGTTGGATATTTCTATTTCATTATTGGTTTTTAAAGCTCGAATTACAGTGTTCTGGATAAAACATATTAAAAATTGTTACACTTAACTTGTAATTATTAAATCACACCTAATATATTACCCGATCAACTTTATATTGATTTTGTGGTGGTTGAGATTTAGCTTCTTCCTCAGATGACCATACTGATAGTTCAAATGCTTGAAGAGTAGCCCATGAAGAAGACGCCTGGCTTCGTAATCTTATATAACCTGAGTATACAGGAGAAGAAATACACTGAGGTTGTGCAGCCAGACGACAGCAAAAATGTCCAAAAAGTGGTAGTTGATTATTCCGATTTTCTGAAAACAAACAATTGAAAATATATTGTATGAAATAAATAATATAAATATTAAAAAAATAGATTTTTTTTTTTATAAATTATTTACTCACGAGTGCTTTCAATTTTAATGTCATGTGTATGTACTCTATCGTCTACTTCTTCTAAAGTCAAGTTAGCTGATCCCATTAACTCAAAATTAGGTCCACTAAAAGTTAATTACATTGTTAACATAATAGATGCACTTAAAAATTTTGTTAAAAAACCTTGTTAGGTGAAAAATGTGTTTTTCATTAATTTTGAATACTGATTACTTACATTTTACTACTATTTAATTCATCCCTTAACGTGGCAGCCAATTTTTTACCAACTGTACGACTTATAGAACTGTGCAGTGTGTTCTTGATTTTTCTAGGAGTGCTTGCTATTGAGAAGTCATCGCGCAGTACATGGGCATACACTTCTAATTCAAGTTTGAAATCTGGTCCAATATTTTCACTGTATAAACAGAATAAAAATATTTAACCTTTCCATTATATCTTAAAACAATGTGCATTAGTAAGTGCATAACTTACAAAAGCAACACATCATTAAACGTAACATCAGTCATAGATCTATCCACCGGAAACATGAGACTGGTGTCAAACAGTTGAGTACCAATTTTGGCCAAACAAAATACAGCGAACCGTCGATAATCTCCTTTATTTTTGAAATGATCAGTGTCTCGCCACATCAAAGGAAGTCGTAAATCTGACAGAGATACTCGAGCTTTGCCACAATTCCATCCAATTCTATAACAAAAACGAAAAATATATTATATTTTGTTTACATTGATAAAATGAATTGACAATTATGTATAGTAAAACAAATTTACTGCGGAGGCTCTCGACTTTTCTTGTGCAATTCGGCAATATACGCGGTCATTCTTTCGTTGGATGTCAACAAGCTTTTAGCAGCCTGCAGAGATTGTGTTTGATGTTTGCAAGCAGCCAGAAGCCGAGTCGTACCTTCACGCATTTTCATTTCAAATTCCATTTTTTGTTCTAATTCATAATCCTGCAAACAAAAAAGTAGTACACACGTTAGATGATATATTATGTAAAATTTATTTTGTAGAAAAAAACCGTAAGACCATCATCCTAGTGGGAATGGGTAATTAATCACCCATAGCTTGATAGCCATAGGCCCTAGAATGTTAGCCAAAAAATATCTTAAACGTATATCGGTAATTATAAAAAATAGCGTGTCAAAAAAAATTTATGTCGTATCGCTTTTTTGCAGATTATACTACCCAACTACGCATCATAAATCACAATATAATGTTTACGGATAAAACGAACTCTGCACGAATAGCGTATCGCAAACAATTTAATTTCTCAAGTTGAAATATACACAAATATTAAATACCCGGTTTTTATAACGACCGATATAACTCATATAATGTTGAAAACTTGTGTAGTATTAAATTGATCGTAGCGCTTTTTCGTAACAAAAGAGAAGTAGGTTTATATTTCTAAGTAAACTTATACCTAAGTAACAACGATAAAGCACATAATTATGAAAATTCATATAAATTTAAATACATTGGTATATTAAAGTATGTAAAGAATAGAATTAAAGTATATTTCAATATACTACGGTTTAAGAATTCCTGCAGTGTGGTTTTAGTAGAACATATATATACTTAGTTTATTTGCTAAAGGTCAAAAGGCGGTTGCATTCGCAATGAACTGCGCCGCGTTGTCGGGGTTAAATTTAACCGTATTTCTGTACATGGAATACGACCAGGTCAATATATAGTACGTTGGCAATTAATTCTAAAGGCTATTTCAATAAACTGTATTTATATACCTACATAATATGCACTTATTATTATAGAAACTGATATATTTTTTTTTTTAATTCCATGAATGAAAGAGACGGACATACTTCATACGATAGGTGAGTTACTGTTTTGGGTGAAAAGTGGGAAGGTATGATATCAAGAGAAATTTAATGTATATCTGTTCGCAACGATTAATCATTGTAAACGAAAAACAATCCTGAGCGGAGTTCAGTTATACATGTTTTAAAAGGCCGTATTTAATTACAATTTTTGTCAAAATTTGATACTAAAATTAGTATAAAAAAATGTATTATATTAAACTCAACTTTTTCTTGTTGGCCATTAAGTATAACTAAAAATGAACCTCCTGTTAAATTTCCAAGCATTTCTGTTTGGTCCAATAATTTTATCCACAAAATACCTACCGAATAAAAATTACGTAAAAACTCGCAAAACTAAAATGTCTACGAATAACTCAAAAATGGCGTAAATGTTTTAAAAATTTTATCACGTCTAAAAAAAACAAATATAAGTTTTCTTTCCAAAATTCCAATCTCTACAAATATGTTTAACTGAATCACAACAAAAAAACAAAAATAATAGAATCATTATTTTCATACATTTTCCCGGTTTTTTCCAACTACCGCTTAAAAAATCAAAAAATTACTTCCTAGAGTACCAACTAGATAAAATTTCCTTTTGAAAAGGAGCTACACTTATGAAAATAGAAGTAAAATTTTTCGTAGAAATTGTGTACAATAAAAATGAACATCATTGTAAAACCCATACATTCCTCGCTTCGCTCAGAACCTAAAATAATGTACGACTACGATTATTATTTAAATAAATACATTGAGAAATGTATTGTTATATATGCAGTTTTTATCGAACATATATCAAGACAATATTGGGCGTTTTTAATTATAATTATTTATTTGTAAAACTTAGTATAGATAAGAATTAAAATAATAATAATAATAACGATCCCGCATATTATTTTTATTCTCTCGTTCTCAAAATGAATATCCTGCAAAAGTATATAGGGTGGTCCAGGAACAAGAATAGGATATAAGGTTACAGGAAGTAAAAATGCCGTCGACGCCTGCAATATCCTGTCACCAAGGCACGTGTCTGTGATAACATCTGTGAGCTCTTTGTTTACACGAGGACATTAAGGAACGCGTATTACACAGTGATGATTAAACCGCAGAACACGTGTGACAGTCGACAGACACGATTCCACTTGAAAAAATATGGACAAATGGAGTAGGTATGTATTTAACAGTGTTACATAGTTTATATTTAAAAATTATATTAAAAAGAAAACCGTGAAAATTTCGACATAGAATAACAATATATGATAAGTAATAATATAAATTATTTAAGAGGATTTCTGCGCAACACAAGGTGTCTCCATACATATTGTGCACGTGCTATTGTGAAAACGTTCTATGAATTTCTCATGTATACAGACTACAGTTATACATTTGCCGTTTTTATTGTAACCCAATAAAAATAACAAATCCAAATAAGAATGTAACGCGGTCGGACTGAATCAAACTACATGCGGACCGAGTGAAAGTGTCCCTTTACAGGATAACAAACCGATTGTAGGTATACTTACAAAAAGCGATTGGGGGGGGGGGGGAATAATAATTATTCTGCAGTTTAAAAAACGAAAAAAAAACAAACCATAATTTAAACCAATTGCCTATAAAATGAAAAATGGTATGCGCACTTTTGCTTTCGTGTGTCTGCGTACATACTTGTTGTGAATTATGTACATTTTTATTTTTTTTAAGGTTAATTTTTAACCTTAAAAAAAAAATCAAAATCATTATATATTTTGTGATTCAAAAAATTAAATTACAAAGTTAGTAATAACGTAGTGTTTTTTCAAATATTTGATATTCGACAAAGAATTAAATAGAGAACAAACTGCTAACAAGTAGTAAATTATTTATACATGTATATATATCGTATGTGCTTGATAAATGTATTATGTTATAAAAATTGGTTTGAATTATTTACTTAGATGTAGATAATTCCTGTTCATATTGCATGCATTTCAACGAAAAAAACCAATAATTAATGATTCATAATTCAATACTAATAATATTTTGATTAGCTTAATTTCATGTTAACGTTAGTTTAAATTGTTTACCGCGAACATGAAATATAAGTTAATTTCATCCACTCATCAGATATTTAACAATTATTAAAAATATAAGCTACTCGTAGTTTCATCTGCAAAGATTATTTCCGTTATACATAAAATAACTAATGATAGAAATACTAGTAATTAATAAGGACGTATAAAAAATGGGTTTTAATTTTCTAATTGAATTGAGGTTTTTAATTTAATGGCCAAATATTAAGCATACGCAGTCGGAGTATATTTTAATATAATACAAAGTAAACGGCACTAGTGCCACTTAGCCCCGGGTTGCAGTTTGTTATTAATTTAAAATTGAAATATTGCCTAAGAAGTAATGTCGTTCGTAACACAAAAAATATGTTAAGCCTGTTAAAAAAAAATCTGGTCTCACACATCTGTGTAATCTTATACTCGACAATTTAAACATTAAATGTTAGATAACTGATACAAATTTTACCTATATTTATTTTAATTCGACATTGGCCAATCACTCACGGATTTGTTTGATGGGGTTTGGAAATTACAAGCATGGAAAGCGGCAAATTTAAACATAAAGAGTAGACTCTAGGCACAGTCATTCGCCATAGTGTCGCCCAGGCAAAATTATTTAAACAATATGTTTTGGTCTATGTTGTAGTTTCTGTTTATTTTTCTTCAATAATCAAAAACATTGCAAATTTTATGAAAAAAAAAAAAAATTATAATAAATATTATCTATATTCTATAAATAAATAATTCAATATCCGTTTCCATTTAACCAACGGTATGTGTAAAGAGATTAGAGTATTTTAATAAAATTGTACCCATTATACAATTTTAAATAATTTTACAAAATATTAAAATAAAAAAATAAAAATTATTTTTAAATATTATAATTTATATAATATTATTGTAACCGAATAATCCTATAAAATTGTAATAGGAGTTAAAGAAATCCATAAATCAAAGGCAATAAATTATACAAGTAATTCGCATTATCTAAAACTGGTTTTAGATTATGAACAAAGCGAGAATTTATTGGTTTTACAATATTTATTATTCTTTTGTTTTTGTTATTTTAAAATTTTTACCAGAAATTTTCTAATATGATTAAAAGTTGATTATTTTTTATTCCTCAAGTTAAAAATTGAGTTAAAAGTTCAAAAAACAAATTAATTTATTAAGTTAAAACGTTAAATTAACTTAACTTTAACAAATTAACTCGTTAATGTCCAGCCTTGATAATTTTTACATTGAAAATCGACTTACCATACCAATTTTCAGAAACGACAATAAATAATAATAACGAAATATTTCAATAATTGACAATAATAAACTTGAATAAAGACAGTTAACAGTAATATTGTAAAAAATTATAATAATATGTGTATGTGTCAGACACAAAAACACTGCATGTAAGACGTTTTCCGTAAATATCAGAAAAATAAAAAAAAATATATCGATGGTAATGTTGTAGTAATAATTACCAATAATAATATTATAATAAATTACTATTGTTAAAGTGGAAATATAAACACATTTATTCGTACAAAATTTCAACTATTCGAAATTATCAATGTAAAAAACAAACAAAAAAAAAATCACAGTTTTATAATATTATTTTCCTAATAATAATAATGAGATATTTGATAAAGAATAATCTGTAGTGCTCATATGTGTAGTTTACGATTATCGCCGGTGTTTGAAAAACTCCACGGATTTACCATTCTCGGTTTGCACTGAACTCGTCTATATAGGTATTATAGACGTTGATGTGTTTGGTAATCGGTGTGTTTTATTCGTAAATACTGTACAATTTATAAATGTGTGGATTTTCCCTCGAGTAAAATTTCAAATACTATATTATTTCCGGGCGAACTGACTATTTGAACTATACTATTTAACTAATCATTCCAAAACCATAGAATAATAATTTTTCTTAAACCGACGCCTGGTATACGTGCGTATACATGGTCTGCGCGCGTTTTTCAATTTGATGATGTACATATTAGTGATGGGCACAACCGAACAGTTACTACTGAACTGGTTTGTATCAGGGGCGTATCCGAGAATTTCTTATGGGGAGGGGGAGGCCAATCATTTGTATTTTATTTGTTCTATAATAATTCTAATTATATCGTTAAATTCATAACCAACAGATTACTGTTAATAATAACACTAGTAAATATAATAATCATAATAGTTGTACACACACAGAGCGTCACACACCTACACACATATTATTTACGGAACAGTTTACTACATTTACATTTCGGGTACGGTAGGGGTCCGGACCCGAAATCCTCACTTTGAGTACCTATACGCCCCTGGTTTGTATTGCGATATGACAGGGGGAAAACTGTTCGAACAGATTCTCGAAATGGAAAAAAAAAATTCTATTTACCTACTGAACTCTATTATACATGTTACGGGCAATAGCCGAAATCGGGTTAATCTCCGAAATGCCCACGATAATTAGGCAAAACGTCATATTTCAGCTTATTTGTCCGGACAAACCTAGTTGTGACCAACCCCATTCGGGCAAATCTGTAACGTCGATTTTGTAATGTAAATTTCAACTTTTCACAATAGGTAGGTACCATACATATTATGTTAATACCATGTTATTATAATACTCGATCTCCTCGGTGATAAATTAGCCGTTGCACGGAAATACCCGATTTTTGACAGTACTATAGTGACAATATAAAATAAACATTCGGGCAAAACCGTAGCTGCTACTTTTATTGTAAGATTTATTTATTTAGTATATTTATGGATGTTACAGATTTGCCCGAACGAAGTTGGTCATCACAACTATACAATATAGGTTTGTGCGGGCGAAAGCCGAAACACGATGTTTTGCCCAAGTATCGTGGACACTTCGCGTTTGGACCAGGGCATTTTTGAGATTCGCCCCGATTAAGAATTTTGCCCGTAATACAAACAGATTAGTATAAAAACGTAATACGGATAATTCGCGCACCCCCGTGACCTCATTTCCCTTCGACGTTTTCATGAAAAATAAAATAATAAACATTGCGTAAATAACAATGTTATAGTCGTTAAAAAAAATGATCCCCTTCCCCCACCCCCTACATCGCGTCAGAATCGTTTGACCGCCGCTGAGCATACACGCGTAGGTACTGCAACAACAGTAATACGTATTTGTTCTCGGTGCCTATATTATACGTATATTATTACATTTGATCGTCCGGCGCGGAGACGATAATAATATTATGATGATGGTATCGTATGTGTACACGCGTACATAATATTCACAACAGTGTCTTCTCTTTTAATTTCACCGATGACTACCGCCGCCGCCGCCGCGATCATGACTGGGCAACACGCCACACGTGACTCACTGTACGTATCGTATTTGATTAATAAGTGTGCGAATGAGCGAGTGTTTAATAATAAATAATAATAATAATGCGACGCCGCCGCCGGCGTACAAACGGAGAACGTTTTGGAAACGGTCCCGCGCAATTGACCGTGGCGTTTCCCGGTTCCGTCGGCGCGATATTGTACGTCCGTTCGCGTTATCATCGTATTATCATTTATCGGAATATACTGGGCGATTTTTTTTATTCTCATCACGATCACGGAGGATTTCAAGTGAATTTGATTTCTGTTTTTTTCCAATCATTATGGAATAGATCGTTTAAGCTTTATTTTAAAACCATTTTTAATTTTCACCTACTCTATTATATACCTTATTATATAAGTACATACTTTTGATTTTCAAATAGAAACCCCTTCACCACCCTCGCCCTTTTCGAACACAGATTTGAATAGAGAATATTTTTCAAGACATTTTGATGTGCATAACACTAATATCAGATTTGCCATTTATGAGTTATAACAGTTGAAAGTTTAAACCGGAGGAGTAGGGAGGGCTATAGATATATAGGCAATTTATTATTCCATAATGATAAGAAAACACAGAAATCAAATTAACCTAAAAAAACTCCGAGTTAATTGTTGGTTCACGATAAAAAAAATCACCATGTATAGTCGTCATCGGAATAGGACGCAAATCGAATCCCGGTATATCGTGTTGAGACTATTAGGCACACGGGCTAACTTTTTATCGCGCGACTATTTTGTCTTTTCTACTAAGTCTTTACAGCCATTATATGTAAAGGCGCGCACACGGAGCGATGCAACGGCGACGCGACTTTTCAGTTGCTCTAGCCAGCGACGGAAGGACGACGACGAAACAAATACGAAAAGGTCGCCCGTGACCCCGTGTGACGTCACGACCAAAATCCTTATCGAGTACACGATTGGATTTGTATGTACAAATAAAAATGTACACATAAATGCGATGACGCAAAGTAGGTAACTCAACAATTATTATATTCTACATTTTAATAGCATATACTTATAAAGTTATTTAATTTCGAAAAATCTCGTTCGAGTATCTCTTATTCAATCAAATCTTCGAGTGTAAATACTCATATTTCAATATAATAACACGAGTGTTCAAAAATATCTTATGCGTGTTTTTAGTTGTACAATTAAAGTGCTACTGATAACAATTTGATATGAAGTGCATGACATGAGTTACACTAATCAAGCATATAAGTGTTTTGCGATCAAATCACGCATTAAAATCGTGATGTCGCGGGGTTCGGACGAAAAGGGAAACATTATCGAACCCGGAAAAATGAAGACGTTTCTCCGGTGATTTTATATTAATATAATTCCTCCGCTCGTATAAATTATTTACTCAAACGACTTTGCCGAAAGTATAGGCTGATTTTTTTTTTTTGATTCGGCAAAAAATACGTGGACACAAAGTCTACGTAGCCGAATGCGTTCTTATAGTTTTATACGTTATACAACTCGAATGGAAAGTACCGGGTAGGTAAAAAAAAAAACAAAACAACACCGCAGTGAGACAGAGTATATTGCAGACGCCGTGACGCGTGTTGAAACAAATTATGATTTTCAAGTATAGGTAATCGATTTTTAAAACGAATATGACATCGGTAAGACTCTACGTAGCTATTTTTATAAAAATAATATCAGGGAAAGTATATACAACCATAAAGATCTGTTATAAACTTATGGTTTACTCGTATAAGTGTAATAACTTTTATTGTTAAAGTTATAAAGGTTAATTTTAGGTAAAAAAAAAAGTAGGATAAATACCTAGTACATACAATAGCGTGTTAACTCGGAAAATTATGTAATATAAAAAGTTTGTTGTAAAATATTGCAAAACGAAAATGTTTTAATAATACAGATTGTCTTGGAACACGTTATACACGTAGGTACGTTAAAAAAAAAACCGACTAGAACGATTAGCAAAAGCAAGCAACAATAATATCCTATTTAGATTCTAGGCCGAAATAGCGGCTATACAATTTATAGTTTTTCAATGTTTTGCGTATTATGTATTTGTGTTTTTGTTGGAATAATAAATGTTTACGCCGTAGAAATATACCGATTTTCGTTAAAGATAATATTGTGCCACCTATATACATATAATATTGTATATGATGGATTTTTAAACCAAAATGAAAATTCAAATTGTCTATAAACCTATACAGCGCGGCGGTTTGTAAACCGTCTTATCAAGTCCGTGAAAAGAATCGTAAATCACCGTTTAAATTTTTATATTCTCTGCGACTACGCTCGGAATCGTTTCCCGAATGCAATAATTGTCACGTTCGAATTTGAATTAATGAATGATACTCTATATCCTGAGCCTAAGCGAACGAAACTTGCCAACAACAATGGAATGATTGTCCTCGTTTTTTTTCTTTTTCTAAATGTGCAGTTATATTATCATCATACGTGGTATGGTTGATTGTTATTATTACTTACTAGTAATATTATATATCTGCTTAAAATAAGTATGTACAGTCAAGTAAAAGTAAAATTTCACAAAAACGTAACTGCATAAAATCTATACTAGGTGAGTGTATAATTTCCGATAAGATTTTTTTTATAAAAAATCAATTTTCAATTATTGCTTTCCTGGTTTTTTTTTTTAAAAAAAAAAACCAATCTCACAAAACATATTATGCACACTATTATCTATTATAATGTTAACCACAAATTTAATACCGGTTATTACGACGAAACCGCCGCCATATAATTTCCGGTTTTTAATATTATTCAAACATAATATAAATGACCGCGTGTTTTTTAAATTTTACATAATATTACATTAATACTATAGTTTTTTTTTTTTTTTTTTTTTTGATTATACTATCCATCGATGATTAGATATGTATAAGTGATGATCCGATGCGTTTAAAAACCAAATTTATTCAACCAGATATTAATGTGTCCAATGTACGTATAAAACAAAGGTGGATTTATAAATCTACCTTGGTATAGATATATAAAAAATAAACACAAGTCAAACAAATATTATTATGTAAGTTGATATAATTACTAACAGCCGTCAAATCAGCCAGTTATGAAAAAAAAAATTAATTAAAAATACATCCAAATCACGACAAAACTAAAAAAACAGATTGGAGGAAAAAAAAAAAGAACCATGTCTACATATTTATACTATATACAGTAAATAAAATAATTAGTTAACGGTAACACTTCTAAAAAAATAAAAAAATAAAACTATCAATTAATTATTAACGGTTCCAATAATACCTATAAAATCTAACCTATAAGATGTGGGTGTCTCTATTATATAATTATTATACTCATAATAACGGGTTATTCGTATTCTGCATTACCTCACATAGTGAGAAGCCTGCGGACCAATATTTTTTAAAAAAAGATAACATTTTACAATTTAGATCCTATCATAGGACAAATTCGTATTATCGAACCCTTGATATCCATTATCGACTATTGACATAAATTTATTTTATTAAATCAGTGTGGTGATTAATGGATTAAATGACACAGAGTATAATTTCGTTTTTTATAGACATATTAAAGTAACCTCAGAAATACCTAGGTTGGGAAAGTTAAGAATAGGTAGACCACCTAGATGGATATGATAGACAAATTACGTGTACTGCAATATGAGGGTCCAAAGGTACTGTACCTATCCCAGAGCCAAAAAAAATCACATCAGATAAATGCTCCTGCAACCTTACTGTAAAGTAATAAAGTTAATGAAACCAATTGTCAGAAAAAAAAAAAAAAAACCGAGACAATTTGAATTTGCTTTATAAAATTACCTTTTGCTGTATAATATTGTCACCATATTTAATTGAATCCCCTACAAAAAAATTCTAAGTACATAACCCCGTACAAACAACCCTCCTCCCCGTTATAATAAGCCTCTCGTAAACGTGGATATCATGACTAAATATATATCACGAATCTTTACTTGAAATCGACTATTTTAATTTTTTTTTTCCCCAATATCATTCACATTTTAAAATTCAAAAAGAAATATTGAAACATTTTAATTTCAAAGCATATTTTCAAAATTTGGATCAATTTATTCCACAATGGTGGCCCAAATTGAGGTAACCCTAGAATAATTAATAAGCAATAGCGTAAAAAAAAGTGAAAAAAAGCGATTACATTCGGATTTTTCTCAGAAAAAGTGACTTTTTTGTAACGGCTTAACTAGGGCAAGGTATCATGTTTCGATCATTTTTGAAGCCGGTTAATATACATGGGTTTTTTTTTAATTGCATTATACTTCCGAATTAAGAATTTTGACACGATTCGCGGGGTGCGCAACTGCGGCGCACCCTGCACATCTCGTAGCCTTGCCTATGTGTCCCATTAGGTGTTAGATATATCGTTATAACAAATTATTACGGTATACTAAGCAACCAAAGGCACGGTATACAAGACACGCTGTTCAAATATTAATATTAAATATGTCTATACGGTTCCGAGACCCACTACTCTCTGCGGCTTGCCAGTGGCATACCTATGGGCCGTATAAATTATATGTGTTATATTGTTATTTGTTTTTAGTGTTTTTACAATTATTTTGCCATTTTTTTTTTCACAGAGTAGTTCATAGTATGATAACATAGTCAAATCCATAAATATTAAAATAATTTTGTTATCTATGGTCGAACCGAGTCAAGGTTTCTGGCGTTATCATTTCGTTTCGGCGTCTCTTATAATTGATTTCTAGTTACAAAATAAACGTGCCAGGAAATAAGCCTACCAGCGGACAACATTATTATTGAAAGATTCTCTTTTCAAAGAATACCATAGGTTAGACACTCAGACTTTGAAATATTATACATTTTTATAACACATATATTACCTAAATCTAATCAAATAAACATTTCTCATTTTACAAAATATACATAAAAGAGCCCGGGATAGTCCGAGTCTGTCAATAAAATGTTTGTATCTTTGACGTTATTTTTTTTTTTAAAGGAATTTTCTATTTCAAGAGCGGGTGAAAATACATTTCATCTCTCTCCCCCTCTCCCCCGGTAAGGAAAGCCTAGGTACGTGCCACTTCGGCACGCGCCGTATACGGTATTACGCACACAACATCACGTTTGCGCCTTATTTTTATTAAATTCACGGGGCCGAAAAAACTTTCTGACATAATAATAACAATAACTAAAGGTATCTAATTATTGTGTTTGTGTATTCGGCGAGCGGACACGGCCCGGCCGGAGGAGATTCCAGTCACGAGAGTTTATCGGGCGCGCACGTCGCCAGGAAACCGGCGGCGGCGCATTGTCCAGCGAAAACCTATTCCTCCTATTGTGCCGCTCGCTGCAGGTGATGATTTGACGGATGGTACCGACGCGCGGCGGCGGACAGCAGCAGCAGCCAGCTCTCGTGTGATCGCATGTAACAACAACAACAATAATAATAATACTACCTAATAATAATGATAAAGCGTAATAATAACAATAATGGCGGTTTGTCGAATCATAACGGTTTTATATTATTTTTGTATTAAACGCGAACCGTCGATATTATTTACGTTGACACGCATAGCGAATTTTGCTGGACGACGACGCGGCGCATCGGCCGAAAAAAAAAAAAACCGAAAAATCACATCGCCGACAGTTAACGACGAGACGAGCTCCGGACGGTGTCGGATGGGCCGACAAAAAAACCGTACATAATTATTATAAAAATTGTATATAAGTGTATTAATAATATAATATTATTGTTATAGAAATAACGTATAACGCCACGACCGAGGTAAGAATATTATTATAATATTTTTCGACAAATGACGGTTTGACCTTTTTTTTTTTCTACGAACAATACGATAAAGATGCAATTTTTTCAAATTATTGATAAAAAAAAAAAAAAAATCACCGCGTTATTTTACGATATAAATATGCATAACTAAACTATCCGATTTATCATGCAGACAACCGTAATTTATTTATAGAATAAATATTATGTTATAAAATTATAATGGCGTATACAATAATATTCATATTATAACGTATATAAATACGGTTCTTTCTATGTTATTAGATACCTAGATATAATACCACGTTAAAACAAAAAATTGAACAAAAACACTATGAGCATCAATCGTTTCCGTGATTATATTATCCACGGCTAAATATATATATATACATATTCAGCCAAAATATGATCTATATATAAGTCGTTAAAAAATAATTTGTAGGTTGATATTTCATTAACACCATTAACGCGGCGTTGAACTGGAAACCCACGAGAGGAAAAAGACTCCGATCAAGGCCCAGGAAAATGTGCTGAATGTGTTTTAAAAAGATTATGGACATTTAGCAGTGCAGGATTGGAGAAATACCGTCGGGAGAAACAGAGGGAAGTATATGTTGGAGTCTAAAATCTTTTAATATTTATGAATATTTTTGTTTACTAATTAGTGTAATTACAATAGTAATAACTACCGGTAGGTAATTTAAAATATTACCAGTGGCGTATTTACGACATGGTTTTTTTTTTCTAGTGACGGACGCATTAACATAATTTAGACGGCCAAGTCCACTTCAAATCATGCCAAGCCCCCCAATATTATAGACGTTGTGTGTGCGTGGTTATAAGGCTACAGACGGTACGGCCAAAGTATATTTACTTATAGCTTTCCAAAATTGAGAGCCTAAATAAAATACTGTAAAATATGAAAAATCACGGTTGTTATACAGAATATTATATTGTACTCTGTTATTTTTATTCTATGATAAATATGGTTATAAATAAAAACAAAATAATATTAATTTGATAAAACAACAATAAAACATTTAACATAATAATACCTAAGAAAAATAAACCCGTCCAACCCGTACCTACTTATATACAATTTAAATCATTGTATAAACTTCAAAAAAACTTGAAATTACCAACTACAAGAATTAGCTACGTATGTATAATCTAAAAAACCTAACCTGCAAGTAATAAACCATAATAATATTATACTAAAAAATAACATATAATTTTCAAAAATTATTTATACCTCTTTGACGTTTTTGAATAAATGTTGTTACCTACACTCGTTATAGACGAAAAAATTACAAGTATAGATGGGTCATACCTAACACTCATAATAAATGTTTCTCAGAAGTCAATATAATTTAAATATTGCATTTCGTAAGTTATTATACTTATCTAATAGTATGGGTATATACTCAGTCCTGGGTATAAATTGTATATAATTTAAAAGCAATTTTATCAGACACGCCTCTTTATAATTACCTATATTATAGCCAGATGAAGTGTCATACGCATCTATCAAGATTCGATTTTCACCTTTATATTGCCTCTACCTTGATTTATATATTAAACTCGCGAAGAAAAAAAAAATAGTTTAAAACTTGTGATCGATTTTCAATCCACTTTCCATAGACCGTTCAACTTAATTAAATTGCGTTCGTATTTTCCATGAAAATATAATTATAATTATCAGATTTTCTGTTTAAACCCCAGTTTTCAAAGGGGTAGAAAATGATGTATCCCCTATATTGGCCTATATTTTTACCATACGATTTAAAATCATTTAATTTTTGAATATCATGATAACATCGACATTTAATAAAATTATAATAATGATCCAGTAAGTTAATAAATGCATACGCGTAGATGAATACATGATTATATTAGGTACTTAAATAATAATACAAATAAACACAATAAATTACAAAATGTAATGTGTAAATACAATGTTTATAAAACGAAAAAAAACAATAATAAAAAATATTTTCCGGCTATTATTTCGTTAAAATCGAAATTGAATAAGAGTATAATAGTAAATGATAACATACATAAATTTTAGAATGAGAAGCTTTCAGCAAAATATATATTAAATAACAAAAAAAAGTTATGATACATAAAGTTATATCTGTACGTAAACCATCATAAACAAAAAACTATATTCTAAGCGAAGTTCGATTATACATATTTTAAAATGTCATAATTTTTGAAGATTTTCGTTGAAATTTAAACTTTCAACACGTTTATAAACAAAAATTACTATTACTCGTACATTACGCTCCTTTGTTTTTTTTTTATTACTGAACACAACTTATAACTTATAGAACCTCGAGTTAATTTGTTAAGCATTTCTATTCGGTCAAACAATTTAATCCACATGAAACTCAAATGCCTATAAATATTTCAAAAATCTCCAGAATTTTTTGCAAATTTAACTATATTATATATATAGGGCTAAGTGTTTTACCGATTATTTTTTAACAAAAGTACAAAAAAAAAAAGAACCGAATATAAAGAAATCGATGATGCTGTAAAAATGTTTACAGCAATTCTTACGTTTTCACAAATTATAAAGAAAATTATAGAATAAATCAATAAACGACTTTATTGCACATTTTCTTAATATGTTATAGGTACTTTTGAATAATGAAACCGTTAACGCCATACATTTTTAAGTTTTCCTTATCTGATTTTTCCTACAAAACTATTATAAGTAAATTGCATTGCAAAATCAAAAAATGACCCATTCAATGCACAAATTACATTTAGAATGCAACAAAAAATGTCTCGTAATTTTTTTGAATGGAGTAAAACGTATAGTGACAAAGTTGAACATTCGCTGCGCTCCGTTTATAAAATAAGTATGCATTATAGTAAAACCAACACATTACTCGTTTTGCTCGGAATCTAAAAGAATGAAAGAAAGTATCACAATCACTCATGGAGCCCTTACCACAGATTAATGTATGAGTGGAATACTCCTACAATACGTAAAAAGCGTATACGCGATAAAATATTTGTATTAACATTTATTTTTTAGTTATTTTTTTTTAGCACGGTATTTTAACATGTTTTAAATATAACGTTAGCTCAATAATCGTTATTCAATAGCCATTGTTTTGTTTTTGAATGACATCATATAGATATTGTGTTTTAAAATAAAGAAGACATAATATTGTGTTATATAATTTAATCGGTACCTATAATATAATGATACTATTGATTAAAATATCTATAATATACGTATTATCTTAAACAAATAGAGTGGGTAAAATGTAATTTTTATCCGAATGATGTTAAATTCGTATTCTTCAACGATATGATTTAACAGAAAACTTAGCCGATATCATGACATAATCATATTGCCAAACAATTTTTCCGTTTTTTTAGGTTACTATGATTCTTACCTTAAGATTATGAGCAATTTGTTTTATATAAAACATTTCCATGTCTTGAATAACGTTCGGTTTTCCGGTGTTTTGATTTCCGACGGTCTCCAAATAAGCGGAATTTCGTCGCTTGTCTTTCAGCGTCAAGGCGGCCAGCGGAGGGAAACACGAGTTCATGGCCGGTGAAATATGACTACTGTAAAAGGGACGACCGATAAAAAAAATACACATAGAATCTGCTCTGGCAGAAACAAAGGTTCAGAGAGAGATATATATGTATTATATATATTATATGTGTATTATTATGTCCTGTGGATCGAGTCCAAATCAGCACTGTCTTTCTCTATTTTGGTCGTCGTCGTCGGGTCGTTTTTAACGTCTAACATATAATAATATTATGTTCTATCGGTCAAACACTATATACGCGTAGTAATAATAATACGGTGCGCATGGATTACCAAAAACAAAAATTATATAGATCGTGGACAAAAGAAGCACGGCTCATTCTTCGAAAACAAAGAGCGCACGTCGAGCTCATTATGTGCTCTACAATAAACCACAGGTACTATACGAACTATACGAAGGAATTATTAATAATGCACTTTTTACTACTATTATAAGATTTAAAAAAAAATATATTCAAAATTTTAAACTACACAGAATATGTGCATTCTTTGTCACGGCCTGCATAACATGTCGAGATTATAATATTATAGCTTTGGCTATGGGGATACGGTCGGAAACTGTAAAATAAAGTTTAAGGGGGTAACACAAAAACACGAATATGTTCAAATCACTGTTTTTCCACACCTTTCAGCGGGTTATTTATACATATATTACGTAGTTTTAGTGCGCGCAAACACGGCTGAAGATATTAGAAAACAAAAAGGGACTACAAAACTTGTAGGCAACTCTCATATAATATTAGTTTGACATTATAATGAAAAAAAAAAGGTAATCGAGGTTCATGTCGAGGTTCAATAGACGTGACATAATTCATCGCGACGAGTTGTAAAATATCGCTGTTTATATTTAGGTATATATATATATAAACTGCGAAAAAAATAATAATAACAAAATCCATCATGTTAATAGAAAATCATAAAACCACCTACATGGAACGTATGTATTACATTAGGTATATTATATTATAAGCTGTACCCAACTTGGTACGCTGAACTTTGGTTCAGTTGACAAAAAACGTTTTATGATGTTATTGTTTACTTATCGAATATATAGAGGTAGGAAAGTAAAATGTCGTAATGTCAATTATTTTTCAACAGTAAACCGTGTTGTTGACATTTTCCGATGACCTACATACAATGTAGGTACCTATATCTACAACACTTTGCCATTTGCAGAACCTATTTCCGCTGTGCCCAAAATTAATATTAATGAACAGCGACACATAAATTCAATTTTTTTTTTTTTTTTTTTTTCAATGGATCACATAATTTGTAAAGTTTATGGCTTGTAAAATCCATAGTATATGACGGCGAGTTGTTACTTTTCGCACGCAATTAACCAAAGAGGCCTCTGCGGTTTCAGGGGAATGAATCCTCGAGGAACATAATATAGGTAACACGTGCGTAGGTATCAAATGTCCTAGTCCAGCGTCCTTCTCTTTCTGAATTACTATTATCACGAGTATGACTTTCTAATTTTTTATTTTTTTTTTTTTAAACTACTAACGACATTTTGAATACCGCAAACACGGTTAAAATAGGTGTTTTTTGTGTTTATTCATTCATTCAAATACAATGTTTCGTACGTTAATTCTAAGACATCGGAACTGTTTTACCAGATGTTGTTTTATTGCATCACAAATTAATACAGATAGGTAGACAGATAATAGATAACTCTAAATAATGGATACAAAAGATAATTTTAGATAAAATAATAAAATTTGTATTCACTGAAACGACTGAAAGTATATTATACGAATGTTGGACATCTAATAAAATTAAAAACTCAGCTAAGTAAGTATTGATTGTGTCAGTTACGAAGACCCTTAAGCCAATTTAATGTCAAATGGCGAGGAATGAGACTATACTGTATAAAATCGTTATAATTAGACGGAGAATCGTGATAGGTTCAAATATAACACGTATATATATAACACGTATGGCGCGCACGTACAAAGTTTATATTTTCCATGGTGGGTCTATTTACAATACTTAAACGTATTTTTTGTTTTCCTTTTAAAGGGATAAAGGCGAACAGGAAGAACGCTGGACGTTTAACATATACGTAGATAGATATAGGGTTTAATAGTAAATAAATATACATAGGTATATATTTTTTTTTTTAGTTATCTCCTGCACGTGTACACTGCACACGCACGTGACTGGAATGATAACACGAATATATTTATGAGGGAATAATAATTTTAAAAAAGACATTTTTAAAAGCTTTTGATCATTAATCACAAATAAAAATCACTAGCAGCTGTAGTAAAACAACGATCAACTTGCAAACATGTAAACCTACCGAGATTTCTGGTTATAATGTTTAGGATTTTTTTTTTTTTTAGCCGCTCAGTTTCGTGCGCGCTATGGAAATAATATCACGCGAAAACCGGTTCCGCACCTTTCACAGTAGGTATATACACGAGTGCATTGAGAAATATTAGCGAAAAGTTTATAACAAACGAATGTGGGTTCAGTTAACCTTAAACAATATTTTACAATAGTTACAACAGTTTTAACATATTTAGTTATACATCTAAAATAAACCATTACGTTTCGATCTTTTATAACGAATTAATTAAAAAAATAAAAATTAAACAATTAATTTATTAATTTTATTTTATTTTATTTATTTATTATTAGTAGGTTATAATGGATATAATAACACTATTTCCTAAATCCCAAAACAATACGTATACTGTGTAAGCGGGATATTATTTTAATTTCCGAAAAATATTTGAATAAATTGGTTAAAAATGTACAATACCTTATTACATTAGAACATTATTACAAGAGTAGATAATCAAACGTAAACCTGTAATAGTATCATGCAGGATACAAAATAAGATATAAAAACGTTATTGATAGTATTATAGTTGATTTTATTTTAATTTGCAGTGAAGCCCAAAAAAAAAAAAGACTAAGAAGTGATTGGTAAAATCTGTTCCCTTTTGTTTAAAGATATATATATATATATATATATTAAAAGAAACCTATAAAATCGATAAAAATGCGAATTAACACATATATAAATATAATATATATGACATTTTTTTTTTATGAAAGTTTTAATTTTGTTGTAGGTACATCAATAGTTGGGCACTTGTACCGACCGATTCGTTTATTTATGTACACGGGATAGGAACGCAGTAGTGGCATACCATCATTATTATCGCCAATATGTCACTAATTTTGAAAAATTGAAGGAAAAGAAGACGGACGTACTTCGCAAGGTGGGTGGGCCACTGTTGTGGGTGAGAAGTTGGTAAAATTAGCATATAGAGGGGAATTTAATTTGTATGCGCAACGATAAACCACGGCTTACAAAAAACGATTCGGATAATTGTTTCTTTTATACATGTACGTAAATTTTCCTAAATATTATGAAAACCGCTCGAAAAATCAAAAAAACGACCTCCTAAAGTACAAAGAAGAAAAAATTTATTTTCAGAAGAGGCGCTACAGTTGAAAATCAGAGCAATATTTCTAGTAGAAAAGTTGTTCACAGATAAAAAAAAATTATAATAAACATCATTGTTGAACCAAAACATTCCTCACTACGCTCCAAATCTGAAAATGAAGCATTAAAATACCATCCATATTTGATATTTGCGATCTATGAACGTACAACACGAGTTAACCATTTCAAAAAGTATTGACCAAAAGAGAAAAAAAAAATCTCGGTTATAATAATTAATAGCGTCAGTGATTAGTTCAGAATCGGAAGTATTTATTGATGAATATAAAACAATAATTGGTAATAACTCATGAGAGGGGAAAAACAAATGATAGTTTAATGAAAAACATAAATTAACGCGTTGACGATGAGTATAAACATTGATTGTTTTCGAATCTTCACGACATTGTTCTACCAATCAATGAATGTGAATTCATCGCAGAATGTTCAAAGTGCATTTTAACAGGTTATTAATTAGCTGTATTAGACAAATTGAGAAAAACACAAACATTGTCGATTTACGATATTGTAATAACAACGTTGCAGCGCCCCGATTCCGAAACGATCGGCTTTTTAATAATTGGATTTTCGCTCGTGAACCGTTGCACCGCCGTGTAAACCACTCGAAAAACACGTAGGTACTCGTATATCACATGTAATATACACACGTGTTATATAGGTAGGGTACACTTGAAAACGTACCGGCGGTCGATTAAAGATTTATTAGATTTTCGAACGCCGTACGACACTGTATTGCGTGTATAATAATATAGATGATTAGGTTCACGGGTACAATAACAGCGTGTAGTAGGTACGTATGTATAATATAGCGTATTATATAGTGTATTGTAGAGTGTTATTTCTTATACGGATAAGAAGCAGAAAAAACAAAAAAGGATAATAGCCGCCGGCGGGAACGACACGCGGTCGAGAAGAAATTTCGACGGGGCTGTACGGAACAACAACAATATCGTTGTGGTGTAAAATCGGCGAGGTATTACACCGGGGAATTTGCGACGATGTATTTTTGTGTTGTATATTATTACTACACAGGTATAGGTACCGCGGACCACGACCACGATCGACGCAAAGAAGAATGAAAACGGTACCACCGCTTCTCGGTTGGCCGTCGACGCGAGATTCGACGACAATGAAAGGGGAGGAGATAGGCACGTGATGATGAGCGACACTTACGCACAATGGTTCCCGGGGCATCGACGACGAACAACAAGACGTGCGAGGACGGCGATATTCCGTTGGTAGGTGCCTAATATATAATACCGTCTGAAGGAAGGCTGGTGCGTGCCGTTCGTCCGGGTAAAATAATAATAATAATAATAGTTATTATCAAAACGTACTCTAGGATAAGAGACTGGCAAAAAACACTCGCGACGGTCATCCGTGTACGAAACAACACACACTACTACGGGCACAAGCGCACTACTACGCGCGGGTCCGCCAACGGGCGGGCGGCGTGGGTTATTTTCGGGCAGTAACGCGCGCGGCCTGCCGGCCGCCGGTGAAACTGTTCCCGTTGCGCCGCCGCCGACACCGGTGGTGCGGTTTTCGTTGGTGATACGACTCGGGAAGGGAAAAAAAAAAAATAAAACTACAAGTTTAATAATACAGTATTATTATAGATAAAATATCGCGTCCGGATTGATGACAACCGGACGAAAATAGTGTGATATTACTGCGCCGTAGAAGTGGTATCAGCGTCATCGGTCATGTTTGTTGTTTTTTTTTTTCACGTCCATTTCAGTTTTATGTGATATTTTATACCTATAGATTAATAATATGTAATACAATATTAATCTTATACTCGATGAGTACAGTTGGTAAAAAAAAAAAAAAAGCTATTTTGTAAACGGATATAATACCATTATATCATATAGTTGTTAAAGTCTCTGCAAACAGTGTTGTAGACAATGAAAAGGGGTCGTTTTTGGTAAATACACGAGACACCAGTTTATATTCAGGTACGGGTTTTGACGAAGTTGAGCGAAGCGATAGACCGAACGCATACAAAATAAAACAAGAGCGAATATTGTTTATGAGTAGGCCGCTGTTGTGGGTGGGAAATGGGAAATGTAGAATATATTATATAGGGTAATTAGATTTATTACAGTGCAGTATGGAACGACAAATAATTGCGAACGAAAAACGGACACTGCAGGATAAAATTCGCAAACTATTAGAAACCGCCGCTGTATAATTGATGTAAAATGTCTGGTCAAAACATGTTGTTTATATACAGACAGACAGTGGCGTAGCCAGCATTTATCAATGAGGGTGGGGAGGTTTCTACGGTTTAGGGGTCTATAACCTTTTTAACCTAACTTATAGGTAACAAAATATGCAATGAGGGGGGGGGGGGTACAACGCCCAAAACCCTCCCCTAGTAAAATCACTACATACAGAATAAAAACACACGTAGTATATTATATATGCACATAAACTAAAATAAAATTTAGTATAGACGGAATTTTTAAATTAAAACTCCCTGAGATTATTAATCGACAAATAGTTCTTTACCTCCCCCTACAGTCGAACGGTTACCTAATAACCGACCCTGACGGGGACCCACTTGTATAAAACAATAAATAACACCTAATATACTTACATTATAAAATAATATCAACCTTGACGCCAATTATGTGAAAAAAATGTATAGAATGAAGGTAGGTAACTATAGAATACTATTTAATAATGCGATTTAAATTGTATATTTCTCGCCTAAATAAAAAAATATTTATCGGGATGGATAATAAATTCTTATAACAATTGCAATTGAAGTTTTAATAGGTAAACATACATTTTCAAATTTAAATTATTTAACCATTTCAAATGTCTATAAATCATTATTCGTTAAAACCAATAATTCGTCAATTACAACATATTATGATGTATACAAATATTATTCATTATTATAAAAAAACACGCTTATTGGGATATACTATAGTACAGAAGTTACGGATATTATACGACCAAGTAAGGTACATGTCTGACGTCTATACTCTATCTGTGTCGTAGCCTCCTCATAGGGAATTTTTATTTTTTTGTGATAAAATAACGCGATGAGTCCTAAATAGAATTGAATATTTGAAAAGTAATAAACATATTATAATTCGTTATATTTAAGTTATTCAAAACTCGAAATCACTACGATACGTTTATGGGGCGCAAACATTGAATAATGGGGAGGAGAGCTTTACGTCCTTCAAAAATGTGTACCTACATAGTATTCAATAGGATTACATTTCATAGTTTTGTTTTAAATTAATTTTCTTAGCCAAAATAAAGCGTATACATATATTATGACTAAGCAAATTTTGTATTTTTCTGCTCAACAATGTTGTGTTAAAAACAGCCCCAACCCTAAGTTAAAACTGCTACTTGCTAATTCATTGTGCATTGTTCACATTTAGTAATTCTATCATAAATATTATCAACTCATATTAGGTTATCCAGCGCACGAATTTTGAGCTCATGACGTCATATAAAATATTGTAATATGTGTAACTGACATTAACAAAATATATTATTATTGCACTATTAATAATTTTATCATAAATACATTTTAACTAAATTTCTTCCAATTATATAATATATATTAACATACTCGTATCAGTTTAAGAAATAATTTATTTCTTGATTTCCGTTGGAAAATTTAACTCAGCGTATCAATCGTGTTTTGTTTATTTATTATTTGGATTTACAATATACGTTTTAGACTACAAATAACAATACAATTATCACAATTTTTAAATATTTAAATAAATAAATAATTTTCTATCATTTATTCAAATCATCCATCGTAAAAATAACTATTTCGTGAACTTCGATCACACAGCGAGGGAAACGAATTTTATTGATTTTACGAATTTTAGGTATAACAAGATTCTTATCGTGTAATGTTGTTTTCGTCATCCAATCAAAATATACCTATGTCCTATAATGATAAAACACATATTAAAATATTATAAGTTATCTACAAATTAAAATTGATAAATGGGCACCTATTTAACGAACGTGTATAGTAGTTTACATCTTAATGATTTATCTACATTCGATTAAAAATTGAAATAAACATCATATTGAAAAAATCATAATTTAATTTACTGTAAATAGGTAACATAAATGTACCCAATTTACATGGTACGACGAATATTATTATAGTACAAGTACTATGCATGCGAATACACGATTAATGCAGAAATGATTACTTTTCCATTTAATAGAACAAATAAAACTATAGTTAAACATAAGTGAACCCGATGAAATTCTAGAAAAAAAAAAATGTAATTCACAGAAGAATTCTATCGAACTTTTTGTGAATTGAGTTAATGGAAATGCATTTGTTCAAGAAAATGTGTTAACATTTCTTGAAATGGATAAAATTGATATCTATTATATTATATCGGAAAAAAAATATATATATAATCAGTTATCATAATATAATTGAAATGTAATAAATGTTTACTTCGCAAAAACGATTATTTCGTGATGTGGATTTGATTCGCATTACCCGGATGAAGTATCCGGTATAATAGTATGCTAGCGGCCGAGGTAAACCAAAAGGTAATTGCGCAACCTTCCTTTTGCACAAATCGCTCTAACCAGTACCAGGGAATTTATAAATAAATTGGCTACCGAATACATAATAATACATTCTCTGCAGTCATATTTCGATAACATACACTATTATAGGTATTTAAATTAGAAAAAAATATACGGGATAATTGTTATTACATTTATCACACATCACGGGTTATGGTAGGTAGTCTAAATAAAAAGTTATTCAAATAAATCAATAAACAGTACAAAATATATAAGGATATAATTATTTTTTTTTTTTAAAATTGAATTTTATTTAGGATAGTGTAAAATTTGTTAAAAGTGGAAAACTAAATTTATCTATAAAATATTAGCTTTTTTTTTTTTCATTAACTGATTTTTTTTTCAAAATTGAAAATATCTATACTTACACAATTCATGTGATACAATAGACTTAAATATAATATAATGTACATTATTTGCGACAAACGACTGATCCATAAGCATAAATGTGTGAAACGAACCCTAAATTATTATTATTTTTACAAATAACTACAAACATACGAATATTCTTTAACCGACACATTTCAATCTAACATTCCGTGTCGAGTTTAACAGATGTATTGAAATATTGGTTTTCTTTCTATAGGCCGTCTTAATAATACTGTTTCTCGTGACTGTATTCTATAATACATTTTCGAGAATTTGGGTGTATTATATAAAATAATAGTATTTTAACACGTGATAAACACATGTACTTTTAAACATTTTTTTTTTCTTAAGAGGGCGTATTACCCGCATCTACTGCCTCAGTTCAACTACCGGGTAACGTGCAAAAACAATGCTTACGCAGAATGAGTAAAACTCGCTTAATTTTGATTTTAGAAAAAAATTACCTATTTTTAAATTTATAGAGAACAATATTTTGGAATTTTAAAGGTGTTTTTTGAATTATAAACTATTAAAAAAGTTACAGTTATTTAAAAAACAAAATAAAAAAAGACGTCCTAGGATAATGCAGACGGGTGCAGCCACTGTTATAGTTAATTTGATGTATACCTGTAAGCAGCAATGAACTATTGCTAACAAAAAAAAAACGATTCTAAGTGCAGTTCAGGTGATAGTGATGCTTTGTTAAATAAATATTGTTATAAAACCCAAAGCCCCAAACAAAAAAACTTTTAGAATAACTATACGTATTTCTAGTGAAAATATTCACTGTTAATTTAAGATTTTATTCAAATGGTTAAAATATTATCGTTCACAAAACGTAATAATAAAAATAGTGATCGTATCTTTGTTCCATCATAAAAAAATAAATAAATAAAATTATTGTAATTATCCAATGTAAAATCTAATACCTATAACGGTTTTTTAGATAAATAAACATGTTATTTTAGATTTTATATAGGTTCAAAATACAAAATAATGTACCCAATTTTTTTTTTTAACGCTATATATTTAGGTACTAATGTTGTTTAATATGAAAATAATCGATAAAGTATAATGTAGCATAAACACATAAACCATAATGATATATAGTAAATAAACTCGACTTCCTATATAAAATATAAATCAAAATCGATCCGTTCCTATCTCCGTTACTTTTTCAAAAATCCAGGTTTAAAACCGCAGACCGCATATGATATGTTTATAGTATAATAATATGAAAATAATTTAAACTTATTATATTCCTCATTATAAAACGTACATAATATAATATCGATTTTATATAGGTAAGTATATAGAAATAAATGATCGGCCTAATAAGTTGAGCTCTAATGACGGACTAAATAAAAATTAAATTGCGAATAATGGAACCTATAAAGCATTAATATTATATACAATGCATTTTATCTAAACAAAAAAAAAAATAAACTCTTGGTGATCTGTAATTATGAAATATACCGAATTCGTTAATTTCACAAAAAATAGAGGTCATCTTCTTTAGATCTTATTTCTATATAAACTAACTCGCATGATATACAAAATTCTAGGTACAGTAAAATAATTATATAAAGATAAATATTTATTATACCATTTAAAAATATTAAGAAATAATTATAAAAAAAGAAAAATTGATAAAGGTAAACTAAAATATCACAGACTATAATGCGGGTATATAGGAATATTTTTGATATTTTTGTTTATAATACTCGAACAAAAAATTTAATTTGAAGCAATGGTAATAAAATATATTAGTTTAGCTTTTATTTTTTAGATTATGAATAATGAGAGGAAGTCATTATATTTAGTACTAAGTTTTAGTTTCATTTTTGTATATGTTTTTTTTTATTGGATAGTGAAATTTAAAAGCGGAATATTTTTCGACCTTAATCTTATCGTAATAAAATTTAAGACAAATCAGATTTTAGATTTTTTTTTGCCATTTGAAAAATTATTCGTGTTATTACTTATTATATACCTAACTATGTTAAAAATTCAACTTTATTTTTTACAAAATAATAATGATTCAAATATGAATACGATTTTCAACTTAAGTTTGTAAGATCTGACAAGTAAATAAATACAAGATTACCGGTGTGTTATTATTCATTTAGATTATAATAATTATAATATAACCTTTAAAGCATCTATCAAACTCGTTAACCATATAATTATGATACTATAACCGTATATTTAAATATTTAAAATAAGAAATACGAGAGGCACTTGGTTGAAATGTTAATCCAGAGTTTTGTTTTGAATGCAACGCTTTTTCTACTCATTTTTTTTTTTTTTTGGTTCTATTTCATTATAAAAAAATAAAACAAATAATCTTCACATTACAAATTATTTTAACAAATATATTACCTAGGCAAAATAACCTTGACAGTAACGCCGGTTGATTCAATTATTTTTGACATATGTATCTGGTGGGTTTAATCTGGTGGTCGGTTTAGGTTGATAAAACATGAATTACGTTGTAATGAAAAAATATATTACTCCTAAAATACTACGATAATATGTCGAACGCTCCTACCTAATATTTATTTTCCTGTTACTTTAATGAACAACATAATGTGAATTAGAATTTATTCTCAATAAAAATGCCTTTATACAATAAATTTGAACGTATACACGAAACACGCACGTAGACTGATAATTAATTACTTACAATTTGAATGTATATTATTTTATAAGTTTTAACTACCTATGAATAAAATCTATTACGTTTTTTGATATAAACTATTTTTAATATGTGTATACAAAACGAAAAGAAAATACAATTGTACATTTTTAAGTTTATTTTCAATTTAAATAAGTTAGATTGCACAAGCCAGAAGAGTTCAATGTGACGGTTTTACATTTAAAATATACTTTTAATTATTTGGTTACACCATTGCAGATGGTAAACGTGGTCAAAAAGTTGCATCCAATAATAGTATATATATATATAGTTAAAAATATCAAACACAGATATTATAATTCAGAAAAATCATTTTTTTTTCTTGAATTAGCAGTTCAACGCTCTGAAAATAACGAGAATACATGTAAACATGTATAACTTAAATTTTATTACCAAACTCTACTATCGCATATAATATGTTTTGAGTATGTATATATTGTTTTGAAATACAGTGTTAATTGAAAAAAAAACACAATATCGTAAAATCAAAATCCACTCACTACTAGAAGATGCTGGTGATGTAAAACAACTATTAATATACTGTCTCGAATAAAGATTTTAGTATAATATCATAATGTTGATGGATGCCATTATTTTTGGCAGTTGATATAATAAATTTAATATAATAATAACAACACTAAGATAACTCTAGATAAATTATCTGCAGAACATCCAATATTTAAATACTTCAATAACACCAATAATCATTTAGTAAGGTTGTCGTGTATTATTTTATCAAGACAGTCTAAATTAGTTTACTTTTATTGACAAAAAAAAACAATCGTTTTTATGAACAAAAGATACTTACGAGTGTCAATAAAAAAAAAAACTGACACCGGGAACGAATATGACACTGATATAGGTGGAAAGCTGGGCGGTGGGATACATAAAGTTACTTTATTTAGGCAACGATATCATTGTTAACGAAAAATCTGAACAAAACTTAATTATATAAATTTTGTAATGCCGTGATTTTTACAATTTTCGTCAATATTTAATCTTAAAACGACTATAAAATACTCTTTACATAAACCTCGTGTTAAATTTTCAAAGGTTTCTTCAAACTATTTTATCTATAAAATTTATCTTATCTTAATCTATTTTATCTATCCAAAAAAAACTTATAAAAAACTCGAAAATGCCTATCAACAGCTTAAATATGGCTAGAATGTGTTAAAAATATTATCACATCTAGAAAAATTTAAAATAAGTATTTTGTGGAAATATCAGGTATTTACGAATATGTTTAACCGAAAACAAAATTGAAAATAATAAAGCCATTATTTCCGTTAACTTTCCAGTTTTTCCCCGGTATTATTCAATTCTTAAGAAAACTACATTGAAAATCAAAAAACGACTTAACTAACGAAATAATTAGACAAAATTTTACTACTTAAAAGAAGTTACTTTTGAAATTTGGAGTAATATTATTGGTAGAAAAGAAAACTGGAAAAAAAAATGAAAATATTAACACCATGAATTTGTCAGTTTTTATTTTAAGTATTTCCAATTTTCTCTCATTATTATGAAATCTAGTTGGAAAATTCAAAATGCATCAAGAAATATCTCTCGTCATTTTTCGGTTGGAGCAAGATTTATATAGTAGAAAACATACATTTGTAAAAATTTTAAATAATGAAATGCCTTACCGGAGCGTACCGTAAATATTTGTCAGTTTTTTATGAAATTTGGTTTCTTGATTTTTCCTAATTATTACGAAAACCTCTGAAATAATCAAAAAATAGTATTCCCAATGCACCAACTAATATAAAACGCAACAGAAAAAGTAATTTGTATTTTTCGACTGGAGCAAGTTTTATGCAAGAAAAGTTGTTTACAAATACTAAAAAAAGATAGGAAAACCAATACATCACGCTGGTAGATTTAGACAAATTATTTGTTTAATAATAATCCCTTCACACTCGAATATGAATTTTAATATTTAATTTGTCACTTGTATAAGGTCAAAGAACTTAGACTTAAATATAATTATATTCTATACGTGTGTTCCGAGACGGTATAAGTAAGATAGATGACTGAATGAAGAATATTATTTCTAAAATATAATATTATTAAACATACTAAGTTATAATTAGATGGCATAAATTCTGATTAAAAGTTATACATTTTTTAATGTAAAACAATATTTTAAAAAAAAATCAATCGAAAGATTATTATAATACAATTAGGTACATTTAAGACTTGACGAATATATAAATACAAACATATTGTAAATAATAAATAAAAAAAAATCGAACACCAGAATAACTATTATTTTCATTACAAAAGTAAAACGTGTAAGCCACGATACATATATGTTACGTTTTTTTATGTTTACTCATCATTCAGGGCTAAATCAATTATAACGCTTTCTTAAGATTCGTGCGAAACTGATACAATATTCATATTTCGGTGAGAGGTAATAATTAAAATATACAATATACATTTCAAATCTAAATTCTTAAGAAATTGTGTTGCAAATTAATTATAAAAACACTTATTTATTGGTATGGTAATAACCACCATATATATGCATATAAAATAGTATTATCTCATATGGAATTCGCGTAAATTCTATATGGGTACATAATATGAGATCATTTTATAGGTATACAAGAAATCATACATTTGAAACACCAATGTAGAAGCTAATGATCAGTTATATTAATACTTAGGTACTTATTTGTATAACTCAAATTTATATAATATACTCTTATCAAATAAGAGGCTATGGAAATCGGATTAAAAAAAAATCAGTAATACTTTCAAAACTCAAAAATATCGAATTTAAAATGTTGATAATTATCAGTTAGTATTATAAGCACATTCATTAGATATTTTCCAAAAACTCGCGTTTTATTGAATATTCTTTATGCCTAGTAAATCTACCAGATATTTCAATAAATTAATAATTTTGTCGTTGCGGTTTTTCTTCAGGTATACACAAAACAAAATTATCCACTAACAACATGAAGTGGTATGCGATACAACTACCTATCATACTTAAACTATAATACATTTTAATACGTAAATTCATAGAATAAAATATATTTGACTCCTTCGTCGGAAACTAAACAGTGACTTCTTTCTCGTATAAGCTGTACTGTACTCAACACATTACCAACAGCACGTACGCTTTCTGATCATTTTGTTACATTGATTATGTGTATTTTATGTATAAAGGAAAAAAACCTAAAATATGTAACAATCACGTTTCAATCGGATAATACTCGTCAATAATCGATTCGATCAACAAAAGTAACACAAAAAAAAAATAAATAATAATAATAATAATTGTTAAATTTTCTAATCATCTTATAATTTTTATACTTTCTAACTATAATCGTTAATTTCAAGCTTCCGTTTTTTACGGTGTACTAATAAATAAGATTATTTTGTATTAAAAAAAAAAAAAAAATCAAAACAAGAAATACAATGTCAACTACATATTTCAAATAAACTTCCTTTGTGTACCTATAAGGATTATGAACGTATATTTACTCAAAGAGATGTTATAATGATTTATTGTATTGAATAAAAGAATAAATCTACTAGTCATTAGAGTAAGCGATATAAATCATTTGTCTGTGGTATGTAACTGGTGTTTGTTTAGAATTTCGTAACCAAAATGGCAAAAACGTAACCCTTTTAATTTCGTTGTATCCGTCTATATGTCACAGGGTAATCATTCCGCCATTTTTCTACAAACTTAGGGCAAATTCTACAGGAAGTTGTCTTATGTGATTCACCGTACCAACTGTCAACAAATTCAAAGAAAAAAGATACGAACATACTTCGCACGATGGGTGGGCCACTGTTGTAGGTGAGAAGTTGGAAAAATAAGATAAAAAGGGAAATTTATAATGTACACCTAAACGTAACGATTAATCTTTGCTAACGAAAAACGTAGTTAGATTACACATGTTTTGAAAGGCCGTAATATTTACGATTTAAAAATAATACATATCGTAAATTTTCACGTAAGATAAGTAAAACAATAAGTAATTTTATTGTTTAATTATAAAGTGAAAATATTAAATAGTTATTATATTATAAACACTATTAAATTAAACAACTCACCTAACCATCGAATTTTGTCATAATTGACTATAGTCTTATTTTCATATAATGACAAAAAAAACCCAACAAAATACATAATTAATTTGATTTAAGGTCTTTGTATTATTTCGTATTTTTAGAGATTTGTAAATTGTCATTTTAAAAATAAAATATTCCTGTGTAATACGTACAGATTACAGATTACCAATTGAAAAGGAAGTGTGTAATATATTGTCAAAACTCAAAATTACAATAATATGTAAACTACATATTGTATATATTATAACTACTAAGAAATTAATTCAAAAGGTTAACACACAATACCTAGTCATACAAAACCTGATGAAAATAATAGTATTCATAAAAAACAGTAAGGTAAATATTACGTAAGATCATATTTGTGATTGCATTGTCAAAAAGACCAAAAAAAAAAAAAAATGTTAAATATTTAGATGCATTTAATCATCATAGTTTAACTATATATACATTCAAATTTTTCATGAATTACTTATTTTTTCAAAAAATGATTTATGGAATTATTTATTCTAAAATGTTACAGTCCTTCTTTTTTTACTCTCATTTTTGGTATTGAAACCACTACCCGTATATGATTTTCAAACAGCAACCTATTATACAACAAGTAACATAAATAGATAAAGTTTTAGTTTAAACTTAATACATTTCAGTTATAACATTTTAAATTTCCATCAACCCGTTAACATGTTTTTAAGTTTAAGTAAGAGCAAAAAGAAATAGATCACCATTCAAACGCTACGCGCGATCTCGCAAAACAAATGATATTCAGAATTGAATTCATAATAAAAAAAAAAAAGTTACAGGATTTGTATACATTATGTATACGATCTACGTATTTTTTATTATTATTATTATATATTATTTTTTTTATAGAATTATATAGTTATGGCATTTAGGTTAAATTTAGCATGCACAAATTTTTTTGACTAAATGCAATGACTATGGGAAAAAACAGAAAGTGTTTATGGGCCTTAGTATAACTCTTTATAGTACAGGTCTTTTAAATGTTATGAATTTTTTTGGAGGAAGGTAAGATAATTCATAAATTTCTTTTGGCATGTGATTGTGGAGAAAATGAGCTCTTGGTTATTCTACGAAATACATATATATATTAGGCTCCCATTTTTTTTTTTGAAGTTGTTAAATTTAAATAGTGACGGCCAGAAATTTTTTTTAATACATCTAAAAATAAATCTCCTAAATCTTCTTAAGCGCGATAAAAGATCACGATTAACAGGTGCTGACTTAAGCTAAAAGTTCTATGAAAAAGGGTAAAATTTTTATTATTAACTTATACTTGGTCAAATTTTAAATTTACGAAAAAATTGTATTGAATCATTTTTGTAGACTTAGTAATTATTTATAAATAAGTTTCCAAGTATTTTTTTTGTAAATTAAATATAAAATAAAAACGAAAGATATTTCCATTGTAATATCTTTGGAGATAATAAAGTTTCCGTCAAATTCCGTTTTTATTTTGTTTTTATATATTATTCATAAAGATAAGGGCTACAAATGTTTAAATTTAAATTAATTTTTATATTTTGGTAAAAAATTTATTTTATTTTATTGTTTTTGAAAAAGTCGAAGATAGCAATTTTATATTTTACTAAAAAATGTTGACCTATCAACTTTTAATTTCATTAAATTCATGGTTTTTAAATCCAGAAAAAAAAAGTGAACAGTCAATTAATTATGATAATAATAATAAACAATTAACGAATGCAATTACAGTCTACTGCATAGTTATAGATACTATTCCCTGAACTTTAAAAAAGTATTCAAAATCAAAAATTTAATGAAAAAATTGATACGTTCATTCGTTCAATAATTTTTAAAAAAAAATAAACTCTATAAAATGGCTATCTATTTTTCTAAAATTATAAAATAAAAGTTATTTTTTTAAGTTCTTTGCTTAAATATAAAAATTTAAATAAAATATAAATATTTGCTCTTAACCCTACGAGTTTTTTGTGGGATACCTTGTATATATATCGTTGCGTTATTTGACCTAAACAATTGAAATCGAAACGATGCAGAATAAGAATTCACGAGGGAAAACATTTACGTCACAACTTACAACCCTCGAATCATCGTCCCTGGTTAAGTCGTTATACGTGCCAAGTAGTCGTATGTTCGACCTTTTAATTGATTCCACGACATTCTAATTGAATAACAATAATATCCTTGTCGTCATAATCGATAATATAGAACAATCGATTATAATCAATATTCTTCTTATTTATTTTATCTAATATTACATTGGAAGGTGTATTTTAACTACACAAACAACTATACACACGAATTTTTGTCGAGTCATCTATCATTTACTTTATACTTATTAACCTATTAAGTGACGAAATTAAACATTATAATAATGTAAAAATATCATTTTTTTTTCTTCTAATAATACGTTAAAATATATCAAATATTCAATCATAATATTTATGTACATTGATTTTTATCTACTAAATGTATTTAATTAATATTTGGAAAATTGAACATTATTTCACGCTTAAAAATTGGCTATTACACGAGTACTATTAGTATTTATTACAATATCACACGTGAAATATAACATAATGTCTCGTGCAAGAAACACGAACAAATGTGTGATTTCGTAATTATTGCATTACACTGACTCGGCTACACTTAATACACATAATTGCAAAAATAAAGAAATAACATTTTTTATTTTTTTTATATAATACTGAACTAAAAATAATGATAAAAATTAATTTTAGTACAGGAAAATTGGTTTATTTCTTTCCCAATGGATTTTTATATTTTAATAATAAAAAGGTACAATGCTGGTGGCTTTAAGCTTTGACGAAAATTTATTTTATATTTTCATAACTGTACATACTATTATTATCATATTTAATTTAGGTAAAATATATCTATATAATATCGCCTACTAACTATTGTCCTAAATCGAATAAGGGTTATAGGAAAGGTATTCAAAAAATAAAAAAATATTCATCGATCAGCAATGAAAAAAATTACAAATTATTATTACACAATAATCGCATGCGATTAGATAGTGAATTAAACAATTGATCAACTATGGCTCGTCACCGTATGATCGATCCTGCAGGAGAAATTAATTTTGATAGATAACTTAATAGAGATAGAATTGTTGCGCGTTTTTATTCCCAGAAAAATAGCTGTCGAAAAATGATTACGCAACAAGTAACAATAATCAAAACAATTGAATGTATTAATACTTTTAACTGTATAACAATATTTAATTTTAAATTCTCCTTGATGATCGTTGACAATTTTTTTTTATAGAATTTATGTAACGCCTATATAAACTTCCTATAATTCTCAAATCTTAATAACTGTTACATATTAATTGACTCATTTATTATGTCTACTAAAAATTATTATTATCACATTATATTACCGAAACCTAATATAAAACTACATATGAATATACGCCTGTGACTTGGTGCAAGAAGGACCAATGTAAAAAAAAAATTATTACAATAGTTATGTACTTGACGTTACATTTTTGGTAATAAATTTATTTTTTTCAACTTCCAATTTTCTATTTGATTTCTTGCACCAAGCCACAAATATGTTATACATAATATGTATAATGTATTATAAACCATAAATGATACCCTAATAATAATAAATTCCCTGCGCTTATTTATAGAAATAGACTATTTAAAATGTAATGATCATAAGTAAAAAGTTTAAAGGACCCTAAACTAATGTTTTGTTTTTTTTAAATTATAAACAGTAGAAAGTTTCTTCACCTACTATCGAGTCAGTGGACTCTAATGTAGATTGTCACACACGTCTGTTGCGATTATTGTTTGTATAGATCATAGTATTATTTAACACATAAAAGAAATATGAAGATGAAAACTCAGTTCGGAAAAGAGAAAACGCACACGTGTCGTTCACACTAGTCAAGATTATGCCCAAGGTTATTTATTACAAAAAAAAATAAATATATTATTCACGTTGGTATTATACTTGTATGATATAACCAACAAGGGACTATATAGCATTGCCATTTTGCATAAAATTCTTCAACAATACATTTATTATTCAATCTAATAGGTCGACGAATAATATTTGCAAAACTTGAAATAATTAAATATCATAGGCATGGTTACAGTACGTTTTAATTTTAAAGATTTAACATAAGGTTAAGTAAGGTTAGGTTTTTTTGTCTTGGTAGTAAAATAGTTTCAAAATTGCACTTTATAAAATGATTTTATGTAGAGTATTCGGTAAAAATATTAGGTTTTACAAGACCTTATTTCTTATTCAGAAATAAAGTACAATAAAAACAAACGGACATACTTCGCACGATGAGTGGGCTACTGTTGAAGGTGAGAAGTTGGGAAGGTATAGGGGAAATTTAATGTATATTTATATACAAAGATTAACCATTTCTAACAAAAAAAATAATTCTGAGTGGAGTTCGGTTAATAGAGTTGCTTTACATATGCATTATATATTTTCTTATATTCTTTATTTAATAGTGTACCTATTTTCTTGTTTTTCCAAAGTTTTTTCCCGGTTTTTACCATTTATTATAAAAACAGATGAGAAAATCAAAAAATTACCTTCTTAAAGTACCACCCTAGTCAGATTTCCTTTCAGAAAAAGTACTATCATTGTAAATCGGAGCAAAATTGTTAATAGAAAAGTTGCCCACGGAATAAATAAAAAAATAAACATCATTGTAAAATCACTCCAGTCAGAATCTAAAGCAAATTGTATTTAGTCAAAAACTGGTGTTGTGTAAATACTCTCATTTTAAGAGATTCTCCTCCTAATTTACCAATTTATCACTTTATTACTATAGATTTCTATTAAACTGTACGTTTTTAGTTTGCAATGAGTTATATAATGCTTAATTATACTTATATTATTATAGATACTTAATATAGGTAGAACCTGTAATACTTTTTAAACACAAACCGTATTGTTCAATGTTAAAATAAAAATACCTATATGTATAATAACATATTTTTGATCAACTTAATATGGCTGTATCTAAAGTAATTTTTGAGATAGAAAAAATTGTATTAATTTAAGCTTTGGGCTATTATTACAGCTGAGTGTGGTACTGCATATTAGAAGCTTCGCAGTCAACTGCAGTAATGAAATGAAGAAAATGCAAATTTTATTTCTTCACCAAAAGTGTTAACATTTAAAAAATGTATTCACAGTATGAATTTTTGTACTTAAAAACTGAGCAAAAACACTTTATCGATCTAGGTCTGTACGTCTGAAATATTTTATGTTATCATTTGAGTAAAACACATTGTAGTAGATATCATATAATCCAATTGTTTAAAATGACCAATTGACTGTGAAAAGTTAAAACGTACAGTTTTTACTACCCACAAATGTCTTGAAAATATAAATTATTATATATTATAGTAACAAAAGACATATAAGAAAACCTACGTTCATATTATGTTTAATTGGTATGAATTATTTTTCTTTATTTTTACAAATTACGATTTAATGTATTACAAGATGATAAATGGGTATGTACATATTATTTTTAGAAGTTGCTAATGAATATAATATATGTATATCTAGTATAACTTTATTGAAATATAACACCTACTAAATAACAATAACAAACTATAATATAATTAGAAGATATCTAAAACTTAATACTGTTAGGTGAATACTAAAAAATTTACTAATATTAAAATATACTGTAAATATAATAGAAATTTTTAATAAAAAATATTAAATCAAAATATTTCCTGTTCCAAATAACAAACTAACTTTAACTCTAACCTGTAAAAATTTGAATACTTTAAACAAATATTAAATTCAATAAAACGAAACATTTATTTTAAAAATGTCATAACTATCACTAACAATTCTTGTATTTAAATTTCTAAATATTTTCTATATATAAAAAAAATATTATTATATTTGTATAGATAATTGTAAATCTTGGTAATTTTTTTTTAAATTTTCACTTTTGGGGAATTGTAAGTAATTGAACATTTGTATTATTAGTTAGTATTATCAATTAAAGTTTATGTAGAAACTGATTAATACTATTGCATACCTAGAGTATTTTACTTTCAACTATTTTACTAACTCTTCTAAATTAACCACACCTCTCGTGCAAACTTAAAATCAAGGTTGAAATGCATTATACTCAATTGTATAGCTTATAAATTATACATTTTGACATAGTAAACGTTATAGGTTCTAAATATTGTTGATGTATAATATTTAGTGTATAACATAAAATTGTTTTTTTTTTTTTTATTATTATATTCAGACATCACCTAAATAGGTAGGAAGTAACTATTGTACAATAGTAGTCTATTTGTCATAAATTAATTTAAATTTTTAAATTATTATATTTTTAATATTGCAAAACCAAATACTGATTCATCAATATTAAAAAACTATTAAATAATTTAAAATTGTATTGAAGTGTTCCTCAAGACTTAAAACACGTGTTATAGATAACAATGAACTGTATAGGATATCATAATACTATATGGAGACATATAGTGCATAACTTTATAAATTTATAATTATTTTAAACGCTAGATTAGATACCTCACGCAAATTGGCTATTTTCATATCTTGATATTTTTGTCAGAATTTATTGGTACTATATATAATTGAATATGATACATATTTTTCAAAACTTGATGACATGAACAAAAGCAAACCAATACTACAAATGTACAGATATTTTATTTTAAACAAAACAAAATTAAAAAAACAAAACTTGATCAAATCGTAATTTCACCATCCTGTTTAAAAATATAATTAAAACCATAATAATTTTAAAAACAGCATAGGTTAGATAAAATACAAGGACGCATGTATAAACTAGGAAAGTAATCTGTAAATTATTATTATTGTTATTATACAGGTGATTTAGACTCACCTTCGCGATCACCCTATTTAACACCTCCAGACTATATCCTGTAGGGTTAGTTGAATTCTAGATTTTACTTAACTTGAACCTAATCACAGACTCTAGAAATGTTGAAAGATATTATATGACAGGAAATGGTTGCTATTCAGCCGGAAACACTTCGAAAAGTGATGGGAAATGCCAAAAACGAGCACATTACACCATTCACTCTGAAGGCGACCATTTACGCGATATTATTTTTAAAAAGTAATCAGAACAAATTTACATATCTAAAAAAAACGTACATTTTTTTTTTTTTGATAAACAAGAAAAATACTATTAACTAAAATTGAATAATATGTATTTGTTTTTTCTTTGGTCTTTTTTTTATACAAATTTGCTGATTGGTGTGTTTTTAAATGTTCACATGAGTAGTATTATTATTTAGACTCCAACAGGTATTTATCAATTAGAAGTTGAACATTTTTGATTTATCTGTATCAATGTATTCAAGTGACAACTGCATACATTATTATTTATAAGTAACATCTTTAAATGATTGTTTAATTATTTTATGCAATAAAGAGTAACATTTTATTTTCATTTCATACTATTCAAATTAAAAAGATTGAGTTTGTTAGCCAAAAGGGTATCAGGCACAAATAAACTATTTGGATATCACATAAAATAATTTTTCCCTAACAGAAAAAAATAAACGCAGTAGGTACTGACCAGTGTTTAATTTTATAAACGTAGATACATACAATATTATAAACTATAATTATATTTATCTACAAGTAGATATATTTATCAACCCAAAATTTAGGAAAATATTTTTTAAACATCACAGTGTAATATTTTTATTTTACTTTGTTATATAGTAATAATAATTGTCATTTTTTTTAAGTTTACCAGCAGTGAATGATAACTGTTTAAAAAAAAATAATAAAAAAATGAAAATGTGTTGCTGTATATTAGTTAAATTGAAAATAAATTTACCCGAAAAATGTTTACCAGGTAAATACTCATCATTACTTACAATACAATACAATTTTACAACAAGGCGATTGAAGTGTACCTATTTTTTGTATTATGTCCATACAAGCAAGACACTATGAATATTTCATTACTTCCTTCTACTATTTTATACCTTATAGTAGATTTGATATTGTATATTACAATTTCCTAATTAATGATTTGCATCATACTTTTGTTTACACCAGATTATACTTAATAAACTGAGTAAAATACTAAAATACCTAAGGAGATACTTAGTTAATTGTTTTAAAAGATATTTAGATAATGTTTAATTTTAATATGTAAATCACTTAAAACTATGTTTCTTAATAATAAGTTGATAAGTACTAAAAATGTAAATAATAATAATAGTAAAAATTGAGTAAAAGTATAAAACATTTTTGTACCTTAAACCAACACTTTTCTCCTCTTCGAACCAAATATATATTTTATGCCTAACTTGTAATTTAATGTAACTCAAATAATTTGTAATTATATTAATGTGTAGTCACAAGCCTGTTTATTATAAATAAATAAATAACATAAAACAATCTATATATTTGTTTCAAAAGCACTAACCAATCACGATTAAACAATTTATAAAATAATACCTATTATACTTACTTAGTTAGGTATTTAGTTATATTTTGATACACATAAAAGATTTTAAAGTCAATAATATCTAAACTAATGTTTAGTTAGAAATTTCTCAATTAACATAATATAATACAAATACAAAAAATGAATTCTTTGCAAATTTCTTTCTGTTTCTTAAAATGTATTAGGTTTATCTCTGGTAGGTACCAGCTGTCCTAGATAACTCGAGTGCATGACCAGCATCATAATCATAAGTGTGGTCTGTAGATGCTCCGGGAATATTTAAAGTTCTTTATTCTATATATTCCTACTAGACTTATGTATTTATTGATTATTTACTATCAAAACAATTCGTATTTCTGGCAATTATGGAACACTATTATCTTGGCGGATAAGAAATTAGCATTATGCTTAACGATAACATAAATTCTACCTATGCCTACAACTCAAAAAGTACAACTATCATCAAATATTCTTTGATTACACGACTTGTGTGGGATCAGCTTAAGAATAAACAATGACTAGCGACATAAATGAAGTTCCTTGGTAAGTCATTTTAAGCAATTTATTAAGAACCTAAGTAGGTACCTACTTCTAATTTTTTGTTTTCAACACATCTAGGATGAATGATTACTTGTACAGGTAGTAACTAAATACAAGGGTACATACCTTATATTTAAGCCTTATTGATTCTCTTCGTCTGATTCTACTATGAAATTCACTAATGCTATGCAAAAAAGTATTTTCTTTGTCAGCCGTATTCGAAGATTGAAATTTTGTTGACAGAGACTTTCTTGATTTCTTCAGTGTTGGAGCCATGATTTACTAACAGATAACTTTTTAAAATGAACAATTTATAAATTAAATTAACGTTATTAATATATGTCAAACAAATTTATATAAGCCAAAAAAGAAAACGCACATTCTGTTTATGAAATATCGAGTTTTAACATAAGTCGCAAGAATAGAGAATATTAAGAAATGAAACCTCAAATTACTTACCACACCACTTGTAAGCCACTATTTAGCTAACTATTAAGTATTTACTAACGCCGCCCACTGTGTATAGTAACCAGTAACGGACATTTTTTTTCAAATGTATTTATCACTTATCACAACAACCAAAATTATCACACATCAGAAAAATGAAAAATAATACAAATATACAATGAATTCATAAAACCTCTCATATATAGATACATTTAAATCTGAAATTCTGAATTGTTTTAATTTGTTATTTTACATTTTTCATTTCCAAAACAAAAAGAGACAGTGTAATCAGCTGTTTCAGCTAACTGCCATCATTATAATTTACAAGTTATAACTTATAACATCTTGAACGGTATTTTCTGAATACTTTATCGCTATCTAGTATGCTTACTAGTTCAAATAATCTGTTTACAGTACTTACTAATAGAGTGCACTAGTAATATCAATTAAATTTCAAAAGTATAAGCAGAGATATAGCCTCTTAAATATACTATCGAGTATCGAGTGATCAGTGATCAGTGATCACTGGTTACATATTACTGTGTCTGTTGCTGGGTATCAGCGCCTTGGTGGTGGTATTAGATACGCTCGTAGTCTGTCTTCTTATACAAGGGTCTTCAGGAAATTTATAAGTGCATGCAGGGAGGGCCACGTGCAGGCTACCACCATCCTCCCCATCATGGTTACTACTATAAAATAATAAAATATGTAGTTATAGGTCATGATAAAATAAACAGGTATCTACGGACTCTACAAGTCTTTGCAAAAATATGGCATCCAGTTTGCGCCGCGTTTCTTTGACTGAATAAATGGCGCCAAATCAATTTTAATTTGGTTTGATCGTAAAGACCGTAATATTTCAGCTTTTCTCGAGCCGGCGTGTTCGCCCACCACCCTGGGGATTTTTTGCCTGACCTAATTACGCCTTGGTCTGAGTTACTCAATTGTACAGTGTTGCCCATTATTTAGACTGTGACAATGCATAAGAAATTAAGAGTTACTTCAAGACTCGAGTAACTTCCTTGATAATACGTTTACTCTGTGAGGATCAGAAGTGGTTGCCTATATCGAACCCCTTAAATAAATATATGTTTTCACACAATGCCAGCAGACTACATTTAATAAATATTATTAATGGTCGCCTGTTTGGTCCTTACTACAGTCATAGCATGAGAAATACATATGTTTAAAGCGATTGTGCTGGCAACTGCTAGTGAAACTAAACGTATAGTTTGTCTCTATTGATTAAATTTGAGTGACCTATATTAGAGTTGTACTTATAAATTATTTTGTTTTATTATTTTAACGAATTTTTCATGTATTCACTATTAGTGACCATATTCTTAAATAGCCATAATAAGAGCCATCAACAGGATCACAAAAATAAAAAACCTAAAAACAGTTTGTCAAACAAAAACAGGAAAACTGGTTTTTCTTTAAATTCATTTTTTGTTTAGACTTTAGCACACGTTTTTAATAATAAAAAATAAAAGATCTGATACTGCATATAGGTGTACCGCTGTTGTAGCTGGGAAGTTGGGAATATAAGTTACATAGCGTTGTGCTATGAGCAACGATAAGCCATTGCAAACGTAAAACAATTCTGAGCGAAGTTGAATAATATATGATTTGTAAGGCCGTATTATTTCATGTTTTCGATTTATTTTTTTATTAAAAAAGATAAATATACATTTGTTTAAAAGAAATATTTTCTTCTAATTGGGCAAGGGAACATGGTATAACAAGATTAGAAGTGACAATATACTACTAGACTATTGGAAATCATTATAAGATAAGAGGCGTATTTAAACCAGTGGAAGATTGTTCAAGTTTGTTGGAAAGTAATACAATTTATTTCCAAGGTACACAGTTTTATTCAGTGTTCATTTCTAAAATGTGGACTAAATTGACAGATAGTTTACAGAATAGTTGTTGCGTTGTGTTTAATAATATCTTCCAATACATAAATTGGGACAACTAAAATATAAAAAAATTAACTGAAATACAAATTAAATTATCAAATAATCCAGAACAAAGAGATAAGATCAAAAAATATAATCTCTCTGCATACAATTTTACCAGTTTTAACCAATTTATATATAGACCGTGGAAACATAATATATTTATGGAAGGGCCTCGTTATAGGCAACCACCTTTGGTTTCATGTTGTTACTGTATTATCAAGTTACTTGAGTCTTGAAGTAACTCTTACGTATTGTCTCAGTCCAACTAATATACAACATTACAAAAATTGAGTATCTTAAAATTAAAATTGTTGTATTTAGGTTAAAATTAGAGTTTAAACATAGGTGCCAAAATATAAAGAGAATATGTTCGAGTGCATTATGTTCCTTATTTTTTAAAATTTTTAACGATTAACAAAAGCTACAGCTATTTTGAAAAAGTATAAACTATCACGGAGTCTATCACTCCAATGTCGTTTTAGTATAATATATTGGAACGTCATTATATGAAAAATCAATTTTGGGGACTCCTTTAGAGGTCACCATTCCCAGGTTGAAAACCACTATATTACATCATTGATTTTATAAAATCAATACTTTAAGCTTATGCGCAGTTTTGCAGAACAGCTTGCGCAACGCAGCTAACGCCCACCGTAGACCCGGGCCCGGGTAACAACGCTATAGGTACTCATTAGTCAGTGTCCCCGTCTCATAGTAAAACGTCTGCGGTCCGGGAAAACTAAGGGTGACTCTGTCGTCTTAGTTCTCCCGGGCCAAAGTAACAACCATACCTTATGTAGTTTTATATTTAGTCACCTACAATATTCTCCAGTAGACAGCTACATTTAGACTATTAGAGTTGTTAAAATAGATATAGTGCTTTGTTCAATTCAATACAATAAATAAACCGATATCGAAATTTACCTACCCAAAAAGTGAGTAAAAAATTTCTCCGATCTATAGTATTATTTTAATAATTGAAATATCAACATCTATCTGGTGATTTAATTTTCAGACTATAACTATGCACATATTATATAGATATTAGATTATCACTCCGTCAAAAGAAGAAAATTCCAAAATTTCAGTTATCAATTTATGGCATAATGTCATTTCGCTTCCAATATTTATGAACAAATAATAAAACAATCTCCCTGTTGCTGAAAATTTATTACCATATGGTAAGTATCACCACAGAAGAATACACTGATAACGATTATCTTTTTTGAATCATTACTTTTACATTTTAGGATTATTTACATTGGACATTTTCGGTGCAAATATAAATCGTCAACCATTGTATAATAATGCACATTCAAATTGTCTCAAACACCTTACACATTGGCACAACATAAATTGGTAATGTAATATTATTAGTTTTTTTCTTATTAAAATATTATCGTTTTTTAAAATAATTCATTTCAATAATTGTAATCCGTAGGAAAAATTAATATTTTTTTTTTTATTGTGGATATTTGATTTGGGTGTGGCTATTGGTAAATCTCAAACTAACTGGCCGCCCTCTAGTGTTGAAAATTTGAAATACAATAGTCGCATACACTATGACGTCATCTGGGGTGTGGCAACAAGGGTATTTCCTCCAGTCTAACTTTAAACCTTGTCTTAAGTAAACATTTTAGTTAATTTTATTTTGCTTTTAGGTCTGGGAAATTATTTCTATTCAATAAAAGTTTCATATACCTTTTATTTGTATATCTATGACCTCCCCAGGATTTTTCTATTTTCTATTTCAAATTAATACATCTTACCAGTACTTCCTCCGCCCACTAAGCCTACCCGCTGCCTATAACCCCTAACCCTACATCCAATACCCTGTTACTCTCCCACACCTCATCTCTCGTCCTACCCTCTGCCCTCAACCTTTCCCCGTTTGAGATTTAACTTTATGTATAATATAAGTTTTTTGAAATTGATTTAATAACTTTTATATCTATGTAACGTAAACGAAATTCAATATTTTTTGCAATCAAATGAAATCGTTTTGTATAGATAATTGAATATCGAATTTTTAATTGAAAGATGATATTTATCAGGCATTCAGCAAAAATAAAGTTTTAACATAGACTATGAAATGATTGACTTTATTTTATGAGAAAAAATATTTTAAAATACGAACAATCCAGATTTCAGATTTAAATTTTACAAAAAATTAGTTTATGAGTTAATATTTCATACTTAGTATTTCTTTATTGTTTATAGGTATGTCTAACGGCCAGACCACCGATTATGGTTGTGCCGATAGTCAATTGACAATAAAAGAAAATGTCCATCTTGCATTCATCATCTGCTCTAATTCATATGGAATACAATAAATTGCCAACACAAATTGTCCATTCACAATGAGTATAGATTCATAGGTGGAGATATGATAACTTTGGGGGGTCGGGGGGGGGGAGCTAAAATACTGGCTTATTATGTGTAATATCGATTTGGGGTCTGTGATCGTAAGCACCTCCAAAGCCTTCTATCTCCGCTTATGTATAGAACCAATCAACACAAATTAATAATCAATAGATCAATAAATAGATTACACTATTAGATTTATTTCAGTTTATAAACTTTATTTCACATATTACAATATAAAATGCTTCACATAATTTAATACAATGGCTCTGTAATATTAGTTTGCTTATATTTAATTTGTAATAGAAATATGATAGTAATAATATGATTAATATACCTACACTTAGTACCTACACTTAATGCGCACACATTTATATCATTGCTAGAAATTTTACCTTTATACTCCAATTATTCTAATTACCTATTAGTGTTATAAATACATATGTACACACGCACATGCATACACATTATACATTATCTATAGTTCCGATATTTAATTTATAAATGTGTATATGTTTGTGTGTGTACCTATCTATTTATTAGTTCTCTCTTAAAATTATTAAGTAGCTATAGCACAGCGTTTGTTTTTTTTTTTCCTATTTTACCTAATACTATTAACTAATAAAACTAATTTTAGACAATAAATAAATGCTATATTTCCTCTCCTTTCCGCTATTAAATAACTATAACAGTCACACACATACACACACATTAGTTTTTAAAAATTAATAAACATGTATATATAGATAGGTTTTTTTTTTAATAATAATTTAATATAATTATGTAAAAGTTTAAAGGTGGTGTTAAACTTTTATTATAACTATATTATTGTTAGTTAATTTTAATATAAACTTTAACCATAATGTATAGTAATTAATAATATAATAAATGGATAAGTAGGTATTTAACATGTATATATAATATTAGGTAATATTTTAGCATTATTTTAAAATAATTTAGTACATAAGTAATTATAAGTAATTTTTAACATTTAAGAACTTCACTATAATCTTTTTAATTATTAATTGTAAAATATAAGTCTATGTATAAATAAATGTGATAGTATATGCTAAGTTTTGTCAAATATTTTATTTATAAGTTGTAATATATCTGTAAATATTTAATTGTTAATTAGTATTAAGCCCTTACCTTTTAAAATTTAATTCTTCTAATATATAAATACATAACACAGACAACAATAAGACAACAATTATTTTATTATTTTATTTTTTGTTATACAATTGTTATCACGCTATAAATACTATTTTTATATTTTTTTTTTTGTGATAACAATAAAAATAATAATTCTCAATTGTGTTCATTTTTATTTGTAGAATTTGTAAAATCTAAAAATTTTGAAAGATTATTATTTTTCAAAATTTATATATTTTTTACTGGAGTCAATGATGTTTATTTATGCTTATCATAATTATGCACCTAACCTATTGTTGGTATTATTCGTGAGTGAATAGAGGTTGTTTATAATGTACTACATTATTGCAACTACAATTTTACTTAAATGTGTATTTTAGATTCTGAGTGTAGCGAAGAATGAATTGGTTTTACAAAGATGTCATTTTTTTTTTTTTTGTTTTATATTGTGTACAAATTTCTACCAGAAATCTTGTTCCTATATGTAGGTATGACACCATTTCTGAAAGGAAATATTGTCTAGAATCTGGATGATACTTAAGGGAAGTCAATTTTTAATTTTCGAAACGGTTTTCATAATATCCTGGAAAACCCATGTTAAAACGTAAAAAAAAAACGAGAAATTTAGGAAAATAATGCTTTTACTGTTTTCATTTTGTTTTTTATTGAAATTCAATTAAAAATATTTGCATGAATTCCATGGACTTGAAATTCAATTAAAAATATTTGCATAAATTTCATGGACTTGAAATTTGGACACAAAACATATATACGTCTTTTCTAGACGTGGTAAATTTTCAGAAAATGTTGATAATTTTTGAGTTTTTTGTAGACATTTTAATTTTACGAATTGTGTATGTAATTTTTATTCGGTAGATACTGTGTGGTGAAATTGTTAGACTAAACAGAAATACTTGACAATTTAACAAGGGATTCGTTAAAAGCCGCAATATGCGGTCAAAAAAAATTGAACTTAATGCAGTATTTTTTTTTTATAAAGGAATTTTAATATCAAATTTTGATGAAATCGTTTGAGTAAAAAAATGCATGGAAAAAATCTAATTTTAGATTCTGAGCGGAGCGAACAAGCTTACAGTTTTACAAAAATGTTTAATTTTTTTTTTTTTCATCTCTTAACAAGTTTTCTACTAAAAGACTTGCACGGGTTTCTAAATTTAGCAACATTTCGGAATGGAAATTGGTGTGGGGAGGTACTTTAAGGAGGTTATTTTTCGATTTTCTCAAGAGTTTTCTTATTAAATTTGAAAAATCGAGAAAAACGTAGGTTGGAAAAATCGGTACAACATTAAACAAATATTATAAAAGAAAATATTTAAAGCCTATTTAATCATTTTACTATAAAATGACATATATTGTTGACAAAGCATCACTATTAACCGAATTCCACTCAGAATTGTTTTTCATTAGCAATATTTAATTATTGCGTACAAACATACATTAAATTTCCCCTCTACCATCCCAACTTCTCACCTACAACAGTGGGCCTCATGCGAACAGAATTTTAAAAAGACGGGCATATAAAATATAGCTATATATTGTGTACATATCATGGCTTCGCCTTTGTCGTTTTTACGAGGAGTGAGTCTAGGGGGTCTCCACCTTTCCCCCTTGAGGTATACATTTTGTATAATATTAGTGGGCTTGGTATGATTTAGGTGGTCTTGACCGTCTAAGTTGTGTTAATGCACACTTTCTAAAAAGTGGTTAATACAATACTGTACCTCGCATTTTAGAATACCGACCTTATTATAAATAAGCCAAAATAATGAACATGAGGTTTTTAAAAAAAATAATGAATCATCAATGAAAACTTATTTTTATAAGTTAAATGTTAATTAAGTTTGCAAAATTTTTAATAATTATGCAATATCAAAAAAAGATTAACAAATAAGTTAAAAACTAAGTTACATTATAATACATTTCACTGTATCAGTTATTGATTTAGGTTTAACTTCATTTTAGGATTTGAGAGAAACGAAGAAGCTTATGGTTTTATAATGGTGTTTATTTTTATTTTTTTTGTTTTTATGTGTAAACAAGTTTTCTAACAGCAATATTGCTCCGATTTACAATGAAAACACTTCTTCTGAAACGAAATTTGACCAAGTAGGATCTTTTGGAAATTAATTTTTTGATTTTTCAGGAGTTTTTTTTAATAAATGGGAATAAAACTGGGAAAACATGGAAAAACCTGAAGAACGGGAAAATAGGTACAATATTAAATACATTTTATTAAAGAAAATATTAAATGCATATGTTATTATTTTGCCATAATATGACATATATATTGTTCACTCAGAATCATTATTTCTTTATCAATGGTGAATCTTTGCTTACAGATATACATTAAATTCCCGTTTGTATCCTGCTTCCTAACTTCTCGCCTACAACAGTGGCCCGCTCATTGTGCGAAGTATGTCTGACTTTTTGTTCATAGTAACATAATTAATATCAATATATTTGTTTTAATAAATCAATTATTTTAAATTTAACTACAGGTTGTAATTGATCTGAATAACAGTACTACAGATTGCTTTTTTTGTTTTCTGTAAAGAGATTTTCTACTAAATTTATAGGAGTTTAGGAACACCAAAATATCTATTATCTGATATTACAAGTGAAAAATCCCAAAAATTGTAATTGATAAAATAAATCGCATGATATGGATGAATAATATAATAACTAACTTATACCATTTTAATATAATTTAACTGTCAATTATATTTATTATATACAATTATTTATTATTTTATATTTGTTATAATTTCTTTTATATAACTACGAATAAATAGGTAATTACTTAATTACTTAATTGTATTTATATATAATTGTTTACTATGAAACAATATTATTGTGTATAAATCAAATTTCAACAGTTTCATTTTTCATAAAAATCAACTACAAATGAGATAAACAAAATCAAAAAACAGCAAAATTAAAACTTAAAAGAATATGTAAAAGACGACTGAGGCTGACAAAATGACACGAAAACGAATAAACCTTTATAAGAACGTCATAAAATATTTAATACCGTTTGAATATTAATCAGTGGAGTTTTCAGGAATTTCCAATGGGGAGGTTGTCGGTAATTTATAGAAAATTTTTAAAGGACTATCGATGCAAACCCCTCTATTTATGACATTTAATATTATTTTTATTAATTATAATGTAAAAAAAATAACAATACAAAATTTAATACCCATTTTATTCTTAATAATTTATCATTAATTTTTTTGTGAAATAAATATATTTATATTGTAATTGTAAATATAAACTATACGATGTGACAATAAATTACCATATCCCATACAAATTTAAAATGAATTCATTGCAAAAAAAAACCGACCGATAGAAGGTTGAAATCCCATAACCCCTCTTCGCGTAAGTACGCCTATAATATTAATAATAACAAAATATTACAATAGTTTGGCGCGTAGTTTTTATCAAATACATCTTTTTGTTCGTCCCGCCGGATAATTATAGATCAATAAACAAACGATAACCATTCATGTTCTATTAAAAGAAAAAAAAGTAAACGATCCTATTGAAATCAGGTTAATTAATCGTTAAGTCAGTTTCGAAAACATTTAAAAAAATTATATTTTATAGTACTGCATTTTATACTGCAGACACTGAAACAAAAACTGTAACAAAACCCACGATTGATACCAGGAGGGCAGGAGACGATAAGGATATTTTTTACGGCGGGTAGTCTTCGAAATGCCGGACTCCTATCGCGTTTCGACCAACCGTTACCACTGCAAAACGACTATGTTCATGAGCCCCTGGTACAAGACTGCACCAAAAATCCTGTATCCCGTGTTGTCCACCACTATGGACGAACGAAAACATAAAAACCTTAACCTCAAATATTTGACAGCTGTTAAATCATTTGATGATTATATTATCAGATCTTCAATCGTTACGAATATTATACCTTCATAATATTACTAAAGATTTAAACGGCACAATAATTTTATTATTCATTGGGTGTAGGTGTTTTGATTAGCATCGATATTATATTCGGGCTTTCAACAATCGCCATACTAAAAATAATATAATGTTCTGTTTAATATGTATGATATGATATATCTATGATATTTAGCATTCAAAACCACTTTGGTTGAATGGACACGAAAAAAAACTTGCCTCTAATTTTGCAGTGTAGCACTTTTTCAAAAGAAATTTTCCCAGAGTAACACTTTTAAGAGATCAATTTTTGATTTATTAAACGTTTTCAAAATAATTGTGAACATATTTTTAATTTTGTTTTTTTGTTGTAATTAACTAAAACCTGTTCGTAGAGAATTGAAATTGGTCAGAAAAACTTATATTCGATTTTTTTAAATATGATATGATTTTTAACACATTAAAGCATAGTATTTAATATTTCTTCGGTAAATGGGGACCTGTTAACAAGACAAATTTAAGTTTTATGCAATCATTTATTTTAGTAAGAATTTTAATACGTATCAAATTTTGACGATAATCGTAAATATTACGGCCTTTTAAAACATGTTTAACCGAACTTCGCTAAGAATCCTTTTTCGTTAGCAATAATCGTTTCTTACAAAAATAAATAAAATTCTCCTTATATCCTTATCCTATCCTTATCCTTTTCCCAACTTCTTAATTACAGAAGTAGCCATCGTTGTACGTCATTTTTTTTTTCTTTGAGTGGTAATCATTTTAAAAGATTCGCCACTGGCCTATGGGTAGGTTAGGTTAGGTTAGGGTAGGTATTGGACTTTTGATAAATTGAAAATTGATTAACACAATAATATTCAATTTAAGTTTTTTAAAATATTTATAATAATAACTTTATTGTATCTAATTTTGATGACATGTTGACATGCAGACGCTGAAACAAAATCCACTGTAACAAAACCCACCGTTGGTACCAGGAGGGCAGGAGATGATGAGAATATTTTTTTACGGCAGGTAGTTCTTGAATGCCGGACTCCTATCGCGTTTCGACCGACCGTCCCCGCTGCAAAACAAATATGTTCATGAACCCCTGGTACAAGACTGCACCAAAAATCCCGTATCCCGTGTTGTCCATCACTATGGTTGAACGATAACATAGAAACCTTAACCTCAAAAGTTACCAGCTGTTAAATCATTTGATGATTATATTAT